ACCTTTACAAGAAAGTTTTTTTTTTTTTTGTTTTGTTTTTAAGATTTGTTTATTTGAAAGAGTGACAGGGAAAGGCATGAGAGAGGGTGAGAGAGATCTTTCATCCGCAGGTTCACACTCCAAATGGTTGTAACAGATCTGGGTTAGGCTGAAGTCAGGAGCTAAGAACTCCATCTTGATCTCCCACATAGGTAGCAGGGACCTAATTAAATCACTTGGTCCATCTTTCACTACCTTCCTAGGCACTTTAAGAAGGAAGTTGGGTCAGAAGTAGGTGATTGGGACTCCTACCCACTGCTCTGATATGGGATGTTGGTGTCAGCAGCTTAACTAGCTGTGCCGCAGTGCTGGCCCCAGGAAGGCTTCTTGTGTCCACAGTATCTTACTGCTGTAATCGGGATACCATGTTGGAATGAGAAAGCACCTTTTAGTTTACGGTGAGATTGACTCTTCTAGGGTTTGTGGCTTTTAACACATTTTCTTCACTGAGTATAGGTAGTATGAAAGAGGATTACTTTCTTGGTCTTCTGTATGTGATTAAATGATCTGTTAGGACTTTGGTCCTTAAATTATTTCCTGCAGTTCCATGTGCAGTGTGATTGCTAATGACTGTGATCAAGTCTATAGCATTGGATTATTTATTACAACTTCGCACTTAGGATTTGCTTTTATTATGTCATGCTGGTTTCAGTAATGTGCTGCTTTTGTAAACTTGGTTTCTGTCTTCATTTTCTAATCCCTGAATTACCTACTTTATTTTGAAGGAGACTGTCAGCATTAATTTGGGAAGTCAGATACATAGAACATAATGCCAGAACATTTAATGAACCTGAGAGTGTAATCGCAAGATCAGCTAAGAAGATAACTGATCAACTTTTAAAGTTTATCAAGTAAGTAAGCTCACAGATGTTGTATAAAAGTGACTGTGTGCGCTCTTATAAACATCTAGTTGTTTTTACACTGAATTTAACCTGTTTAATGTTTTACATTAGGTGACATTTCTTTACATATTTATTATGACTATAATTTCAGGAAAGGAATGGAAGATGATGAATTCATTTTTTGTGCTTTTTAAAGTAATTTCATACTACAAAGAGTTGCCATATACGCTTTATATAGTGTCCCCCTAGATCAACATGATGTAAATACTTAAAAATGTTAAAAACTTAGCCAGCCGAGTGGCTCACTAGGCTAATCCTCCGCCTGTGGTGGTGCCGGCATCCCGGGTTCTAGTCCCGGTCGGGGCACCGGATTCTATCCCGGTTGCTCCTCTTCCAGTCCAGCTCTCTGCTGTGGCCCAGGAGTGCAGTGGAGAATGGCCCAAGTGCTTGGGCCCTGCACCTGCATGGGAGACCAGGAGAAGCTCCTGGCTCCTGCCTTCGGATCAGTGCAGCGTGCTCGTCGTAGTAGCCACTTGGGGGGTGAACCAATGGGAGGAAGACCTTTCTCTCTCTCTCTTTCTGTCTAATTCTGCCTGTCAAAAAAAAAAGTTAAAAACTTCAGTCTTTGCATAAAACTGTTGACTGGAGCAAAGAATTTATTTGGATTTCACTGGTGTTTACAACAGGGTCTTCTGTGTTTCAGCATCTAATCCAGAATCCCCATTGCATTTATTGTTTTGTTTCCTTAGTCTTTTTCAGTCTGTTCCTTGGTCTTCACTTTTTTCATGACCCACAACCAAAAAATATGCATTTATTTGAGAAGCAAGGGAGACATAGGGTGCTAATTTACTGAATGCCTGTGATGGCTGGGGCTGGGCTAGGGCTAGAATTGGGAACTCAATTCACAGACTCCATCATTTTTAGGAATGTTGTTTGGTTGCTTGTAGAATATATTTCATGTTGGTTTATTTTTCATGATTAGATTGTGCTTTAATCTAGTTTGAATTATAGCCCATGAAAGTATTATACATGTATATGAATATTTCATATATTTTCTTGCAGTGAGAAATCAATTTGGAATAGAGTGAAAAGTGATCTTGAAATTGAAATCCAAGTATTAACCTAATTTGTCCTAGCAAGCATTTTTTCAAACATTAGGTGAATGACTCAGATTCAGTGTCCTTTAAATTTTTTTTTTAAAGATTTATTTTTATTTATTTGAAAGAGTTATAGAGAGAGGTAGAGAGAGAGAGAGGTCTTCCATCCCCGTTCACTCCCCAAGTGGCCACAACGGCCGGAGCTGCTGCACTGATCCAAAGCTAGGAGCCAGGAGCTTCTTCTGGGTTTCCCACATGGGTGCTACTGCTATCCCAAGCCACAGCAGAGATCTGGATTGGAAGAAGAGCAGCCAGGGCTAGAACTGGTGCCCATATGGGATGCTCGTGCTTCAGGCCAGGGCTTTAACCCGCTGAGCCACAGCGCCGGCCCCGAGTGTCCTTTAAAATTAATGAGTTTTGCTATATGTCCTTAAATGCCCTTTTTATATAGCCATAAAAATTCTTTGAAAGAATCTTACTGGAGAAAATTATTTATGAAACAGTACTGTCATATTCAGCTTGTCTAAAAACTGGAGGAAACTGATTACTGTCAACTTTTTTGGATTGATTTTTTTCCTAGGATTAAATTACTAAATTACCTCCAAATTCACCTTTTCTGCTTCAGAAAATCACATGCCTACTTTTATCTCCTTCATATGTAGATAATTCCTACTTGAGGAATTTCTGCTTCTATATGTATAGTGAAGTTTCTACTTAACTTTTTCTTATTTCTGTTATCTTGAATTAATCATTTTCCTGATACTTAGCTTATAAATATTGATAGTGATGATACTTGGTAAAATTTATCCATATATTCAGTTGAGGTAATACGTAAGTTATTTCTGGATTGCCAGCTGATTTCTGTACATACTTAACTGTAAAAAAGTATTCAAGATTTTGATTTAGGATTTAAGATTGCCAGTTTCTGTTTCAAAGGATTTATCATTTATTTAAAAGGCAGAGAGATAAAATATCTTCAGTCATTTGATTCACTCCCCAAATTGCCACAATAGCTGTTACAGTCTGTGCCAAAGCCGGGATTGTGGAACTCTATCCAGGTCTCCCATATGGGTGGGCCAAGATGGCCAGTTTTAACACAGAGGAGGTCTGGGTCAAAACTTGGTGTTTCTCTGTTTGAAATATGCATGCATGGGTTGTATACTTTTTTGTGTGTTAATGTGTGGTTTGAGTCCTTTGCAACTGTAAGTATATCTGCATACGATATACCATTAATGTGGCAATTTGTTCTTCTAGGAATCAAGACTGTACAAATATCTCAGAACTTTCTAACATGTCTGAAAGTGATGAGCAAAATGCTGAGGATTTGGTATGAAGTTTTGTCAATTTTATAATTTTTGTTAATTTCAACTGATAATTTAAAAATAATGACAAAAAATGTGGGTTACTTTGCCAGTTTTTGCTCTATTCCAATGAACTATGTAAATTTGAAATTTCATAACATGTATTTATTGAGTTACCTATATCAAATATGAGGAAATGTGTTCTGGTGATAATTGATACCAGTTAAACTATATCTAAATAACAGCTTTAGGTGTGGAATATGTTCTCTTTCCAGATTTTAGTGAGTGCAAGATTTATAAAAGTACCTTGGAAATATTTTTTATAAAACCGGCATTTGTTAATTTTAATCATTATTAGAAGTTAAGGAAATAGACCATGCTCAAAGTGCCAGACATCTTTAACTTGATGTAGTACTGAAGTTTAAGTACATGGGCAAATAACAGTAGTGTGTAATTTCACTTTATAGAGAACAAGGCTGTGGTATGTGATTGTAGGATGTTTTTCAAAAAGAATTTATGGTCAGTCTCCACATGCTCCTAATATATATTAGCAGGCTCAAAAAAAATTTTGGTGGAATAAAATCACATATACTAGTAAGTGAAATGGGGAGTAAGAAAATGTGTAGAACATCAAATTCAGGAACTATAGGAGACTGCGTGTTTCTGGGGTTTTATGGTTAAAGGTAAAACACAAAAGCTCCTTTTGCTTGTTGTATTAGGAAATGCACAAAGTGACTCTTTATAATAATAATTTTGAGTTTTGGTATTAGTGTGTTTTCTTAGTGGATGTGAAAAGGGTTTTTAAGAATCACAGTGTGTTTTGAAGCCTGGGTGTCACAAAGAGTATCTGATAGTCTTTTTGAGATTTTGTTAATGACATTCCAACATTGATAAGGCCAGATGTTTTCATCTACTTTTTAAATAAGATCACTTCAGTTCTGTTGAGAAGGCTGACACTGAATGTGCTCTGACTTTATTCCTAGGATGATAGTGATCTCCCTAAAACATCTTCTGGAAGAAGGAGAGTAAGTCACTGCATTGCTTGACTTCTGTGGTTTGCTTGTTCTTTGTTTTAAAATAAAGATTTTCATTTTTTTTTCTTAGAAAAGTAGTAGTTATGCAAATGCTGAATATTTTATGAGAAGTATCACTAAGAAGGGAGATATAGGAAAGATTTAGTGGAAAAGTAGAGATTTGAACTGTATTTTCTGAGATGAAATGAGAAAATTTTAAAAAATAGTGGCTATTAGAGCAAAGACAAAACTAAATTCGACATGTGTATTTAACTATGTCCTGTCATGGGTTAGTTAAGGGCAGTGGCCCAACTGGTGTTGAGGTTGAAGGTTGGAGTGAACATGTGGCTGTGTCTGGTGATTACATCAGGAACCCCAGGCTATTAGAGATGAGTTGAGGTTTAGTACAAGAATGTGGTTTGAATATTGGAAACCTAGTCAGGGATAGTGTTTGCCTGAAATTGAGAGGAAAGAAAAATGATGAGACCTTGTGAAGGAAAACTTAACCAGCATTTGGTGACTGAACCTAGTTTAAAATTGCAGATTTGTTGAGAAGATAAGATTGAGGGGTGAAAAGGGGCAGCATGTATAGGAATAAATTTAGGACATTGGGTGATTGTAAGTTTAACTCCTAAGTGCTAATGTAGTAGGTTAATTTAAAGTAAAGGCTATTCATACGAAAACACTTAAAACATTTAACACAGCTCATTTTAAATTTCATCCAAATACTCTTGACATTTAAGCTTTTTTATCAAATAGTAATTTTCACGATATGCTTAGTACAAATAACATTAGAAAGTTATACCTGAAATAATATCATCTGATTTGTCAGATTCATTTTTAAAGAAGCTTCCAAGTACTTATTATCTATATGTTTGCTTTGTTTGCTGTAGCAAAAGACACATTTAGTTGATTGCTTAAATATTTAAAATGTATTACTGTGCAGTTTTGTAGATTTGATACTTGACATGAATCTTACTGGGTCAAAATCATAATGTTGGCGTGGCCAGAACCTCTAGATGGGGGAGCGCTCCTTTTCTAGCATCTAGCTTTCTCAGGTCCTTGGCTGTAGGTCCTCTTCTTCCAACTTGAAGTGAGCCGTGTAGCATTTCCAGTTCTTCATTCTGATCCTTCTGCCCATGCAGTTAATCCAGGATAAACTTCCACCCCTAAGGCTGTAGGAACCCTTAACTAAATCTTCAAGGACCTCTTTCCCTGTAAGGTAACATAGTCTTGGGTTGTGATAATTGTGATGTGGACATCCTTGGTGGAACCATTAATCTTCTTTCACATCATCACATGTAATCCTTCATATATGTCACGATAAGCTTTATATACTTGGGAAAGAGTTGGTGGATAATGTGCCCCAAAAGAATACTATTCTTAGCTAATCTTAAGTTTTTTCTGGGACTGGCAGGTTATATTAAAACATATTAAATGACAAGCTTTAAAATTTTGATTCTGGAAAAATAGAGCAAAATCTGTGACATTATTGTGTGAAAAAACAGATTTTTCCAACTGCAAAGACAATCTAAAATAGCCATAATTCTTAGTACACAATACAGAAGAGAGAAGCTGAGTTACATTTTTACCAGTCTTGTCTTACAGTGTGAATTTCCTAAGACTGAAAACATTTTCAATATTATGGATGTATTTTTAGGTCCATGATTGGAAAAAAAGGAGCAGCAAAGCTACGAACTGTGTTGAAAGCAACTGGAAGAGACAGTGTAAGGAACTAGTGAACTTAATTTTTCAGTGTGAAGACTCTGAACCATTTAGACAACCTGTTGATTTGGTTGAATATCCAGTAAGTTTCCACTGCTGGGGGCTTTTCTTGCTATATGGTGAGGAGTTTGGGTTAGAATTATTTTAAACTTTTAAAAAATGTTTAGATTTTCTGTTAATTTTATCTCTATTTACTAATTTAGCTGTAGAAATAGTTTTATATAGTTTTCTGTAATTTAACATTGTTGTAACAAATCTAAGAACTTAGTGTTTTATGTAAAAATGGGAAGTTTCTACATCATTATTATCTTCGTAGGTGCACTACCAGAAAAACTATAAATTGGGTAAAAGTATCTGTTTTTACTCCTCAAATAAAGGACCTAAAAATAGTTTGATTATAGGAGCAGAGAATTATTGTAGGAAGCTTGGAAGTTTCTGAAGAGTATAAAGCAGAAAATCAAAAAAACTGTGCCATATCCCACTACTGAGAGATAGGCGTTAATATTTTGGTATATTTGTTTCTTTTTGTCTTTTGTGTTTGGGCTTCTTTTTAAACATTATCAATGAATCTTAAGACCTACATGCTCTCTTTTCTTCCTCATTTCATATATTTTTAGAGAGCAGATACATTTGCATTTCTAAGAGTGGAAAATAAATCTATGAACTAATTATTATTCTTAAAACCTAGGACTACCGAGATATTATAGATACTCCAATGGATTTTGGAACAGTAAGGGAAACTCTAGAAGCGGGAAATTATGACAGCCCTTTGGAATTTTGCAAAGATATCCGATTGATATTTAGCAATGCAAAAGCATATACGCCAAACAAAAGATCGAAGGTAATTTTTAAGTGGTTCATAAAAAAAAAAAGTCTGTATGATCTGTGTGAATTTTGTATTGCTGGTACAGGTTGAGATATTAACAAGGACTGAATAAAGCAATACTGATAGAAAGAACAGAGCATCTGTCACTGTCCAAGTACCTACAGGTTTTGCCTTTATAACAGTTGATGTTTATCATAATCTCTTACAGTTTTTTGAGCATATGAGGATTGGTAGAAGGAGAATATTAGTAGAAAGCAATAGTTTAATACACAAAATGAAAAGAGTTCCTGTTTCTTGTATGGAGGAAGATTGCAAAAAGTGGATTAGAAATCCTGGTGCAGGTGGGAAGAATACTAAAGTGACCGGAGGGAAATCTGGAGTGAGGGGTGGGAGCTGGCAGAGCAGTGAACCTCTGGTCTGAAGAAGCAACTCAAGAGCTGCCTGATTGTTAGTAGACAGAGCTTTCCTCAGCTTTTGCTGAAATGTTACACGTTGGACGTTACAGACCTTAGTGAGATGTGATATAAAGAAGCTTACGCATCACATCGTCCCAGGAATCTTCACAGACATTGCATACTTGAAGCCAGTGTGCTGGATAATTTAAAAACAATAAAAAGATTTAAAATAAAGCACTTTTTTGATACCTTAACATTTTTATGTGTACATTGTCACTACTGATTAACTAGTGGGCTTTATTTCCACTTCCACTTCCCCTTCTTTTCTTTTCTTTCTTTTTTTTTTTTTTTTTACGATTTATTTATTTATTTGAAAGTCAGAGTTAGAGTGAGGAGGAGATGCAGTGAGAGAGAGGTCTTCCATCCTTTGGTTCACTCCCCAATTGGCCGTATTGGCTGGAGCTGGGCCGATCTGGATCCAGGAGCTTCTTCCAGGTCTCCCACGTAGGTGCAGGAGCTGAAGGACTTGGGCTGTCTTCCACTGCTTTCCTACGCATATTAGTGAGGAGCTGGATTAGAAGTGGACTCAAACTGGCACCCATATGGGATGCTGGAATGCTAGGTGGCAGCTTAACTCACTGTGCACAATGTTGGCTGCTCTCAGGTGCATTAGGGCAAGAGGTATATTGGCTTTGTGTGTAAAAGTTTAATAGAGACAATTGGACGTGTGGACTCTGAATTGAAATATTTATCAAAGGTGTACTTGGAGAATGACATATCCGTAGGAATTAGTTGGCTCTGGGAGGGGCAGTCGATCAAGGATTAAGGTGTCAAATGCCACAGCTGTAGAGAAAGTAAGAAAATATAGTAATATGCTAATGTTGATCATGTTTTTGGCTATTTTGCATGTCATCTTTTGAAAAACGTTAACTTGAGTTCTTTACCTTTAAATTTGATCTTTTTTGTTGTGTTGGGGTTCTTGTAATAGACATTAAACTTTTACCAGATGATTTTCAGATATTTTACATCATTCTGTAAGTTGTACTTTCACTTTGGTAACGTCCTTTGATACCATTTTATATTTTGTTTCTCATGCTTTTGGTTTCATATCTTAAGAATCCGTTGCCGCTGCTGGCGCCGCGGCTCACTAGGCTAATCCTCCGCCTTGCGGCGCCGGCACACCGGGTTCTAGTCCCGGTCGGGGTGCTGGATTCTGTTCCGATTGCCCCTCTTCCAGGCCAGCTCTCTGCTGTGGCCAGGGAGTGCAGTGGAGGATGGCCCAAGTGCTTGGGCCCTGCACCTCATGGGAGACCAGGAGAAGCACCTGGCTCCTGCCATCGGATCAGCGTGGTGTACTGGCCACAGCGCGCCAGCCACGGTGGCCATTGGAGGGTGAACCAACGGTAAAGGAAGACCTTTCTCTCTCTCTCTCTCTCTCATTGTCCACTCTGCCTGTCCAAAAAAAAAAAAAAAAATTAAAAAGTCTTTTGCGGGCTGGCACCGCGGCTCACTAGGCTAATCCTCCGCCTGTGGCACCGGCACTTTGGGTTCTAGCCCCGGTTGGGGTGCTGGATTCTGTCCCTGTTGCTCCTCTTCTAGTCCAGCTCTCTGCTGTGGCCCGGGAGTGCAGTGGAGGATGGCCTAGGTGCTTGGGCCTTGCACCCACATGGGAGACAGGGAGGAAGCACCTGACTCCTGGCTTTGGATGGGTGCAGCTTGCCAGCTGTAGCAGCCACTTGGGGGGTGAACCAACGGAAAAAGGAAGACCTTTCTCTCTGTCTCTCTCTCTCTCACTATCTAACTCTGCCTATCAAAAAAAAAAAAAAAAAGAATCCATTGCCAAATCCATCATGATTATTTATTCCATCTATTCTGAGTTTTGTGATTTAACTCTTTTAAGTTGTTGATCCATTTTAGGTATTTGTATATAGTGTGAGTGGGAACCCAGCTCTTCTTTGACGTGCAGAATTTCATTTGTTTAACCACCATCTGTTAGAGAAATTCTTCTTTCCTCATTGGTACTTTTTTGTTGAAAATCAGCCATTTGGGTCTGTTTCTAAACTCTCAGTTCTGTTCCACCGGCATAAATGTCTACATGCCAGTAACATAATTTTCTGTGACTTTGGTGATTTTTGAAACTGTCAGGTGCTTTAAGTTTTTATTTTTTAGGTTCAGCTGCTCAGAACTTTTCTAATATATTATGAATTTGAGAATCGGCTTTTATTTCTGCAGAATTTCATAATTTTATTAGGGATTCTGATGAACATGTAGATTGCCTTGAGTTGGGTAGTATTGATGTTGACAATATTTAGTATCCTTGTCTGTGTACATGGGATATCTTTCCATTTATTTAGATCATCTTTAATTTCTTCTGGTACTGTTTTGTAGTTAAGTGTGTATTTTTTTTTAAGATTTATTTATTTATTTTAAAGAGTTACACAGAGAAGGAGAGGCAGAGAGAGAGAGGGAGGTCTTTCACCTGCTGGTTCACTCGCCAACTGGCCGCAGTGGCTGGAGCTGGGCCAATCCAAAGCCAGGAGCCAAGAGCTTCTGGGTCTCCCACGCGGGTGCAGGGGCCCAAGCACTTGGGCCATTTTCCACTGCTTTCTCAGGCCATAGCAGAGAGCTGGATCAGAAGAGGAGCAGTTAGTGGCTTTCCCCGCTACACCACAGCGCCGACCTCGTGTGTATGTGTCTTACAGCTCCTTGGTTGACTTTATTTCCAAGTATTTTGTTATGTTAGATGCTCTTGTAAGTGGAATTGCTTTCTAAATATCTTTTTATGATTGTTCATTAGTATTACGTAGAAATATAACTGGCGGGGGACGGCGCCATGGCTCACTAGATTAATCCTCTGCCTGCGGCGCCAGCATCCCATATGGGCTCCGGGTTCTAATCCCGGTTGCTCCTCTTCCAGTCCAGCTCTCTGCTGTGGCCTGGGAGGGCAGTGGAGGATGGCCCAGGTCCTTGGGCCCTGCACCCCATGGGAGACCAGGAGGAAGCACCTGGCTCCTGGCTTCGGATCGGCGCAGCACTGGCTGTAGCGGCCATTTGGGGAGTGAACCAACGGAAGGAAGACCTCTGTCTCTAACTCTGTCAAAAAAAAAAAAAAAAAGATATAATGGCATTTATGTGCTGTTCTTGTGCCCTATGATTTTGCTGAAGTTATTTATAATCCCTAATTAGCTTTCTTGGGCGTTCTTTGGAAGTTTCTGTCACTGTGAGATCATGTCATCTGTGATTAGAAATATCTCTGATAAAGCTTAATCTTCCAACATTTCATAATTTAATTAACTTGCAGTTTAATAACATAACGGTATGCTGTAATGAAAGTTATGTGAGTCTCATCTCAACTACCATGTGGTGCTGTAGCATTAATTAGACAAAGAGATGATTCTTGGCTTGGATTGGCTGGGAGGCACACATGGGATTTCATCATGTTACTCAGAATGTCACGTACTCTAAAACTATGCATAGTTTGTTCATGCAGTTTGCAGCTAATATTCAGACTGAGCAACTGAAACTATAGACAAAACAGGGTACTGTTATGTAAAGTTGAGTAGCAGTTGTAAAAGCAGGTATCTTGTTTTATTTCTCGTCTTGTAATTCTTTCACCATGTGTCTGATGTTAGCTGTCAGTTTCCATAAATGCTGTGTTGTTTAGGAGCTGGTTATCAGTTTTAGCAGTCATTTCTCCTAAATACTGTGTGTGTTCAACTTGGATGTAGTGTTTCCTTTTACATGAAAACAGTGATAGATCAGAGGTTGCAAACTTAAACTAATAATTTATCTTGTTAAAATTGTGGCTTAGACTCATTCATGTTTGAAAGAATAAAATTGGTAAAATAATGGAAATAATTGTCAAAGACTATTTTAAAGACCAGCTATGATAATTCTCACATTTGTGTCTCTGTATATATGCACATGAGGGTACTTCAAAATATTTATGGAAAAATAATATTTAAAAATGTTTGATACAAAAAGTTTTGAAATTGCATAGAGAAGTCTACAAAATTTTTTTTCACCAAAATATCTTTTAATTTCAGTTATGCAGTTCTCTGGTGGTCTGCCTCATCTAGTGCCATTTCATAAAACTGAGACTCAATTTTTAAGCATTAGAGTTTTGCCTTTAATACAGAAGAATATAGGGACCCAGTGATATTTGTATCATATTGCTGTTATTTTTTTTTAAAGATTTTATTTATTCATTTGAGAGGTAGAATTACAGAGAGAGGCAGAGAGAGAGAGAGAAGTCTTCATCCGCTGGTTCACTCTCCAGATGGCCTCAATGGCCAGAGCTGAGCTGATCTGAAGTCAGGACTCAGGAGCTTCTTCCGGTCTCCTACGTGGGTGCAGGGGCCCAAACACCCGGGCCATCTTCTGCTTTCCCAGGCCACAGCAGAGAGCTGGATCAGAAGAGGAGCAGTCGGGATAGGAACTGGAGCTCATGTGGGATTCCAGTGCCGCAGACGGAAGCTTTGCAAAATTCCCCCCCCCCCCCCCCCCCCCCCCCCGTTAAAGACAGAGTAGTGGGGGTTCTTCCATCCAGTGGTTCACTCCCCAAATGGCTGCTGTGGGCAGAGCATGGCAGTTCTAAAGCTAGGAGTCAGGAGTTTCCTCTAGGTCTCCCATGTGGTTGCAGGGCCTCAAGCACTTCGGCCATCCTCCACTGTTTTCCCAGGCCATCAGCAGGTAGCTGGATCATAAGTGGAGCATCAGGGACCTGAACTGATGCCTGTATGGGATGCTGGCGCTGCAGGTGGTGGCTTTACCCACTGTGCCACAGCACTGGCCCTCATCACATTGCTGTTCTTTTAAAGATTAGATGTTACTTAGTTTTAGAAATTATTTATGTTAAAAGTCTAGGATTATTTTCTTCTACTGGATGTAAGATTCCTTTTGTTTGTAATTTGTGTTGTCTAATTTATATTTAGAGCAAGATGGCATCAAAAGCAGGCAGACTGCAAGTTCAAACTTGTATAAAAGTGCTTCTTTTTCTTTGCCTCCAAGAGACACTGCTCACTTGTTGCCTAAATAGTAGCTTTAGTACCAACTTCTCATTTGACTTATGGGGTGCATTTTGTGATAGAAAACACCAGATGAGATCCACTGGCATACAGAGTCTACATCCTAGTGTCTAGATCCTAGAATGCTGCTCGATTTAAACGTATTTTTCCATGAGAGTGTCTGAGAAGTAGATGTTTGATATTTCCTGTTTTTCTTGTAGATGTCATTGAAAGTAGAGGGGTAGAAATACATGAACTAATGACAGCTAGTATCAAAAAGCAGTGATAAAATCATTGTAAATATTCTCAATGATTGTAATTGTTTTGTAAAAATAGTTTCAAAGATATTTTGTAATGGTAGTTTTGTTTTCATTTCTTTGCAGATTTACAGTATGACCTTGAGATTGTCTGCCTTATTTGAAGAAAAAATGAAGAAAATATCTTCTGATTTTAAAATTGGTCAAAAATTTAGTGAAAAACTTCGAAGAAGCCAGAGATTTAAGCAACAGCAAAATTGTCACAGTGTTAGTCAGGCTAACAAAATTATCAGGTGAATTGTTTATGGCAAGCTTTGCTTTTTGGATTTAAGGTTTTTAAATTTTTTATACAATGAAGAAATTATCCTAATCTTTTGATTTTGTATTTTTATCTTTGATTACATAGATTACATCATTATCAGCTTTAAAGGTGCTTTAAAATATTGTATTATAAAATCAAGTTTTGCAGTATTTATCTACTATATAATAGGTATAATATTCTCAAGGTCAGCTAGTGATAAGTAGGTAAAATAGACCTCTTAAATGTGTGCATCCTTCTAGATCCCAAATAATATGGAGCTTTTAAAAGACTTTTCTGTTTCATTCCCTACATTTCCCTTTTAAATATTGGCTGAACTCTACCTTGCTTCCTTGGCCCTAGGCAGCTGTGTAGTTCTGGATTGCTGGTAGTCACCAGAGTTGACAGTGCCTTGGGACATGCAGCTTTTCTGTAGAGCTCCCAAATCAGGCCAGTCCCCTCTACCTCACAGCTGTCATGCCCAGAGAGGGGTGGGTGTGTGTGTGTGGGTGTGTGTGTGTGAAGAGACAGAGACAGAGAATGGTTGGGAGCTGTCCCAAGTTAATAGACCTGGTTCAGTAGTTTTCCTCTTCTCTCCTCCCCTTTTCCTTCCCTTCCCCTCCCCTCCCTTTCTTCCTTCCCTTTGTTTTGATTGATTGATTGAGTTGCAAAGCAGAATTAGAAGGAAAGAGAGAAAAGAGGGAGAGCGGTATCTTCCATCTGCTGGTTCACTCCCCAAATGGCTGCAAGGGCCAGGGAGGGCTGGGCCAGACCAGAGCTAAGAGCCTGAAACTCCATCCGGGTCTCGCTTGTGGAGTGCAGAGGCCCAAGCACTTGGTCCATCTTTTGCTGCTTTGCCAAGTACCTCATCAGGAAGTTCTGTAGGGAAGTGGAGCAGTTGGGACTGCAGCCATTGCCCATGTGGAATGTCTGTTCTGCATACAGCAGTATACCAGCTGTGCCACAGAACTGGCCACTCAGGAGTTTCTCTTAAATAAGCACTTTCTAATCCTAACTATAGAGTTCTGACATTTGTTGTATTTAATAATTTTGCCATTTTAACTTCCATTTGGGTGAGGGAATTAGTTGAATTATTCCATCCATTTACCCCAAGAGCCACATTAAGACAGAAGAACATACTCACTAGGTAAATGAGTGAGTTTGCATCATGAAATTCAAATGCATGCATTCTGTGTGAAGTACCAGGGTTCCTCACAAAGTTCATGGGAGATGAGTACTGTATGGTTGTAAAATATAAAAACATGGGTTTAAAGTTTTTTGTACCAAAATTAATTTTAAATTCCATTTTTTTCATGAGTTTTTGAAGTATTTATGCACTGTCTTCTATAATTTACTTTTGTTGAAAGGAAAATGCTATTTTATTAAACACTCTAATAAAAGTACCTTTTAAAATTTTATTTTAAAATAAATTCAAAGTTACAAAAATTTTGCCAGAATTAATTCAGAGGACTCCCATATACTCTTTACTCACATTTGCCAGTCTTCATATCATGTTACCTTTGCGTTAAGGTTGCTTTAATACAGTTGGGCATCAGTTAGAGACAGGGATATGCTTCGAGAAATGCCTTGTTAGGTGATTTCATCCTGTGTGAACATCACAAAGTATAGTTACACTAATACAGCTGCATTATCACTAAGAGATATAAATTGATGAAACCTATCTGTATATTGTGCACGCACACACACACACACACACACACAAATACTTTGTTGGTCTGTTGCTTATTCAAATAGTTACATGGTTGTGTTTTATTACATAGAGTTTTTCTTTTGAATCAGGGAGGTATTTTTGATATCATGCTCATTTACCTATACTTTGGATTTACTAAGAAGTACATTCAAATTCTAATCGAAAACCTTCTGTTTCTACACTTATCAGTAATGTCATTATAGCAAATTTTTTTTCTATTTTTTTGAGAAGATTTATTTATTTGAAAGAGTTAACAGAGAGAGGTAGAGACAGAGAGGTCTTCCATCCACTGATTCACTCCCTAGATGGCTGCAATGGCCGGAGCTGTGCCGGTCGGAAGCTAGGGGCCAGGAGCTTCTTCTGGGTCTCCCATGTGGGTGCAGTGGCCCAAGGACTTAGGCCATCTTCTACTGCTATCCCACGCCATAGCAGAGAATAGAGCAAATTTTCTTTGTAATCCAGTTCCAAGATAATGCATTGTATTTATCTGTATGTTTTTCTGGTCTCTTTCAATCTAGAATAGTTTTTGAATCATTTCTTTGTCTTCCTTGACTGACATTCTTAAACAGTCATTTACTTCTAAAATTATTCTCAGTTTAGGTTTGGCTATCCATCTGCTGTTAAAAATCAAATCTACAATAAGTATGCATTTTTTCTTTTTGTATTTACTTTTGTATTGCCCTCCCTTGATATTAATGGCAGTTAAAGGTTTTGATACTTGTAAAACATGCTTGATTTTTCTTTATAATTATATAAACATTACTGTTTTAAAGAATTGTGATATTGTTGTTAAGCTTGAATGTCTAGATACCCCTGAAAAGGCTTGTTCACTTTTTTTTTTGAAGGGAAATAGGAGTATCTGGACATAAATGTTCACCAGATTTGTAACGGTGTAAATTTCCATTCCCTTCTGCATAATCCATGGCTTAATGGGTGTTTAAGTGTAGAACAGCCTGGTTTTGGAAAAAAAGTTTGTTTTTAAATCTTTCTTCTCCCTTCAAGTTTTGTAGGTCTCTCTCTGTCTCTCTCTCTCTCTTTTAAAAACGTTCATTTATTTGAAAGGCAGAATTAGAGACAGAGAGAGGGATATGTGTGTCTTCCATGTGCTGGTGCACTCCCCAAATGGCCACAATAGCCAGAGCAAGGCCAGGCTGAAGCCAGGAGCTAGTGCTCCATTTGGACCTCCTACATGGGTGGCAGGGGCCCATGCTCTAAGGCCAGCTTCTGCTGCTTTCTCAGGTGCACTATCCGGGAGCTGGATTGGAAGTGGAACAGCCAGGATTTGGAACTGGTGTCCATATGGGATGCTGGTATTGCAGGCATGGCCACAACAGTGGGCCCCTCCTTTTAATTTCCTACTATGTTGAACATATACATAGGCGACTACAAGGAGAGTTGTATCCTGTTGAGGCTTGAATGCACAGCATAAATGAATACCTGCAATGCAACACTTGGTTTCCTAATTTAATCTGAGGTATTCAGTAACTCTTACTGGGTTCATCACTACAGATTTGAATCAAAGTGTGCCAGATTTGGCGTCAGGAAATATTAGTAGTAATTCATGCCTCAAATAAGATGTTAATAGTGAATATTTTAATGTTTTGTTCATGAAATATCCTCAGATTAAGAAAAAGTACTCTCTTATTTAGGTTATTGTTTGTAAACCAGTTGCTTTTGTTGAATATTATTTCCATTGTTCATATTTTTGACTAGAAATACCAAGCAGAAGCGTGTGAAATCTCAGACACAAGTGATTCCTGAGTTGGTAGGTTCTCCTACCCAGTCTACCTCAAGTAGGGTGGCGTATTCTGCAACCCTCAAGACAAGTGCTGATATCTCTTCAGGTGTTACTTCAGATGACTCTTCAGATTCAGCACGCTCATCAGAAAGGATCAGAAGAAACAGACCTACAACTCTAAGAAATGGTTCTTCATTTTCTGGTAAGAGGTAAAATACTGTTATTCATTGTTGAGCACCCAAGTGTGCAACACTGGCAGTTACTATGGGTTTAGAGGAAAACCTAACTATATGGCCTTGGCACTGAATGAACTTATTAAAATGTAACGGAAGAGACAAAAGTAGTAAACATGGAACTATTAGAATGTGTTTGAGAATTCCTGTGCTTTGCAGATGATGCAATCACATCTTATGCAAGTTGGAATCTTCTAGACTTTAAGTATGTTACAAATATTCAGCACAACTTGTGTAAAATTGGGTATTTTTTTATTTCTTCAAGTAAAATTTTGATAAGCCAGTCCAAGGCTGATAACTTGGTAAATTCTAACTGTTCGTGCTATAGCCATTTGGTAGTGCGGCAGTAGCAGATGGTAACCCTTTGATAGCATTGTAAATGAGGCTGTGGCATTTGTGTATTATCTCTGGATTGTAGAATGATATTAAAATACTTTTATAGTACTTTTACTCTTAAAATGTGTTTTGTATATCATATTATCCAATATTTCATTAAGTATTAAATAGTATTGAAAAATACACCTTTGGTAACATTTTGGAATGGAAGTGAGAGAAAATGCTGTGGGGGTCAGACAAACAAGCTGATGTGTGCTATGTTAGAATTATACGGTGTCTTAAGGAATGCATTTATAGGATAAAATTTCCTGTCAGAGTATACTGGAGTAATTGAAAACAGGACAAGGGGTAAGAGAATACCTCTCTAACTAGAGCAATTTTAAGAGAAAACATTGAAGGAAAGTAGAATGTACTTTGTGCAATTGAAATACTTTATTTTGAGGAATGATAAATAGAATTAGATCAAACTTGTAGAAAGCATCTAAATTTTAGAGACTGCCAAGCCCTACAGAAGAGTTTGGGTTACTTAACTGGGTCTCTCGTTGAGTGAACTTGTCACATGATGAATTCTGTTTCAAGATGTACAAGGGTTGGTCAGGAGTCTAGGGACAGGGAGTCAAGGTGATTGATTGTTGGTGGAGTTGAGTGGGAACAGTTGAGAAGGGCAAATAGGTGAGCTGTTTTGAAGAACAGTTTGGTGTCTGTTTTTTCCAACATAGCCTCTTCTCTTTCATGCATTTGGGTTGATGACAGATTAAAAATTTTTTTTAAAAAGTAGTTTTTATTTACTTCTTTTTATTTATTTTAAAGGCAGAGAGACAGAGACAGAGCTTCAGTCCGCTGGCTCACTCCCCAAATGCCTACAAGAGCTAGGGCTGGGCCAGACCAAAGTAGGAGCTGGGAACTTAGTAGGTCTCCCATATTGGTGGCAGGGAACCAAGGACTTGAGCCATCATCTGTTGTTTCACATGGTACACATTTGCAGGAAGCTAGAATGGAAGTGGAAGTGTAGCTTGGACTTGAACCATGAACTTCACTATGGGATGCAGGTTTCTTACTCACTGCACCAAACACTTGTCTCCCAGATTTTATCTTTTTTTATTTATTTAAATTTTTTTTTATTTTTTGACAGAAACATGTTCCCGTTCATTTCAGGAAAGGTTTATTGATCATAATAGTTGATAGGCATGGGTCTGGATAAAGGAACAGGAAATTTGGATTTCTTGCCTTGACTCTGACATGGGGCATACACTGTTGTGGTTTTTTTTTTTTTTTTTTTTTTTTTTTTTTTTTTTTTAAAGACAGGCAGAGTTAGTGAGAGAGAAAGGTCTTCCTTTTCCGTTGGTTCATCCCCTAAATGGCCGCTAAGGCTGGTGCGCTGTGCCATTCTGAAGCCAGGAGCCAGGTGCTTCCTCCTGTTCACCCATGCGGGTGCAGGGCCCAAGCACTTGGGCCATCTTCCACTGCCTTCCCAGGCCACAGCAGAGAGCTGGACTGGAAGAGGAGCAACTGGGACTAGAACCCAGGGTGCCGGCGCCGCAGGCTAGGATTAGTCTAGTGAGCTGCAGCACCGGCCATGGGGGCATACACTCTTAAAATGGGAGAAAAAAAATACCTGCACTATTTAAATTATTTATTTCACTTTTTTTCCCTCTCCCTCTTTGTGTATGGGTGTGTACAGCACATAGAGATAGATTTCCTTGAGCTGAATATGGTACAGCTATGCTGTTAGGATGAATTCCACTAATGAGAGCTAAACATATATCCTCTGAAGTGAATGAACTGGAAATGACTGTCTTTTCTATCTGAAATGCGTGAGTAGTATCACAGAAGGAGGTAGATGGTGGGGCTAAGTTAGTTTTTAAATGGAAGTTTGTTTACAAAATAACTGTTTTCTAAAGTATTTCTGAATCTAGTCCAAGATTAATTAATATTCTTAGAAATACAAGTACAAACTTGATTATGTGCCTTTGAAACAGTTTTTTTAGAAATACACTCTTAACCTGCTTTTAGTATAATGTTATGAAATAAATTCTTATTTGTTTGTATAGATACATTGTGTATAACTATTTACATATAATTATTTGCACTTTATTTTTCTTAGAAAGTGAAATAGAAGATTCCTTAGCTACCTCTTCATCCTCTTCAGCTTCAAATAGTTCAGAGGAAAGCAAAGGAGAGCGTTCAAGAGCTTGTGAGTCTTCTTTACGCAGTGGGCTGTCCAGAAGCAGCAATCTCAGAGTGACCAGAACTAGGGCTGCCCAGAGAAAAACTGGTAAAGAGTCTGGCATTTTGGGAGAATATATGTTATGAGAACCCAAAGTTAAACACTTAATGAATTGTTGATTTAATGTATCTACATATTATTAAGTGTCCTTTAAGCACTTAATTTTGGCATTCAAAAATAAGGAAACCCACTAAAATGATAGTCATTGAAATGCTAAAATAAGATTTCTTTTAATTTCTAGGTCCCGTTTCTGTAGAAAATGGATACAATAGAAAAGCCACTCGAAAGAGAGTCTATCTAAGTGATTCTGATAACAATTCATTGGATACTGGTGAAATTCTAAAAGCAAGAGCTGGAAATAACCGAAAAATCCTACGGAAGTGTGCTGCTGTGGCTGCCAATAAAATAAAGCTAATGAGTGACGTGGAAGAGAATTCTAGCTCTGAAAGTGTGTGCTCTGCTAGGAAGCTGCCACATCGCAATGCTTCTGCTGTAGCGAGAAAGAAGTTACTGCATAATTCTGAAGATGATCAGAGCTTAAAGTCAGAACTTGAAGAAGAGGAAGTGAGAGATCAAAATCAGCCATTGCCAATGTCCACTTCTCATGTTGTCCAGAATCCTGCCAACGAATCTGAAAACGGGGATTCAGAGTCAGAAAGTGATTTGCGGGTAGCCCGGAAAAATTGGCATGCTAATGGTTACAAGTCTCATGCTCCAGCAACTTCTAAAACAAAATTGCTCAAAATTGAGTCTTCTGATGAAGATTCTAAAAATCATTATTCAGATAATGGTTACAATGGAGCTGCTGGCCCATCAACATCGGGGAAGAGACTTCAGGCAGAGAGCGTCTCAGAGGAAGCAGATTCTGAGCCAGGACGGCATGGTGGTAGGAAATATAATATAGCTCACAGGAATGTGAATTTCTTTAAGAAAGCCAAGATCTTGAGTGATTCGGAAGAGTCTGAATCTGGAGATCAAGGTGGAGAAGACAGTAGATGTCATGAAGTGGAAATGAGCCCAGTTTCAAGAAGTTTGCAGGGTGAACCTATTGCCGTGTCCCAGTGTTGTTTAGATCATGTGTCTGAATCCGATTTAGATTCAGATGATGAAGCAGAAGAAAAACTAAGCAATTTCATGAAAGGTAACTCAGAACATTTACCTGGGTTTGCTGATTTAATCATCATTTCTCTATTGCATGTGGTTATCCCCCCCCCACCCCCCATTTGAAATTTCTCCTTGCTAGCTGTTTCTGTCTTCCCATGTATTCTGTTATGTTTGCATAACTGTTTAGCGAGTACACTTAGTTTTATTTGCCTAACAGGCAATCTTAGCTGTAACAACTATTTCCATCAAAGATTTTACTTTTTGTTTTGGTGACGGGAATGTTTTGTTGGATTTAGGCTTGAGGAAGGTAGAGGCAGGCACATTTGTGAGCTGTGGTATGCTTGAGAAGAGCAGAGAAAGGGGTGTGACTACAAGCAGTGTGGCAGGAGCCCAACAGAACAGGCACTTAGCTCTTTCTGTGTAATCAGGAACTTTTTCTAAATACTTTATATTTTAATAATGTATAGTCTTCATATCTTTTCTAAGGTAGGAACCGTAATTAACAATGTCCAGGAGTACAGAGTGATGAGATAACTTAGTTAAAATCATACTCTTGGGAAATGTGAAAACCTTAAAGGAGCAGAAAACAGCTAAAGCTAAGGTTAAAAGTAGCTGAGTGATTGGGAATTTGTGGCATTAGGAAAAATTGCATGGAGACAAAGTTAGTTGTTACTTTGCATACCCTAGTGTGGTATTAAACAGTCTCATCATTAAGAGGTGTGGTCATCCTAGTCACTGCAGCCCCACTTCCAAGGTAATGAGGATTCTGGGCTTAAGCTGCTTCAGATGTTGAGCATGTAATTCTTTTTTTGACAGGCAGAGTGGACAGTGAGAGAGAGAGACAGAGAGAAAGGTCTTCCTTTTGCCGTTGGTTCACCCTCCAATGGCTGCCATGGCTGGCGCGCTGCGACTGGCGCACCGCGCTGATCTGAAGGCAGGAGCCAGGTGCTTCTCCTGATCTCCCATGGGGTCAGGACCCAAGCACTTGGGCCATCCTCCACTGCCTTCCCGGGCCACAGCAGAGAGCTGGCCTGGAAGAGGGGCAACCAGGACAGAATCCAGTGCCCCGACTGGGAATAGAACCCGGTGTGCCGGCGCCACTAGGTGGAGGATTAGCCTAGTGAGCCGCGGCGCTGGCTGAGCATGTAATTCTGTTCGACATATTCTTTTATAAAAGATTAAAAGAATGTTCTTAATTTTTAGATTCTACATCCCAAGACAATGGACAAAGCAGAACAAGTTCCAGGAAAAGGGTCTGTTCCAGTGACTCAGAGAAAAATTCAAAGGTGGCTAAGAAATCATTAAAAGCCAAAACGGGTCTTCTAAGGATCACTCGAAGTGCATCTGTGGCTGCCAATAAGATGAAGCTCATGAGCGATGGAGAAGATGTCAGTTTGGAAAATAAGTGCACTCGAAGCAAAAACGGGAGGAAAAAGCCCCTCCGTTTTCATTGTACCTCAGCTAATAAGATACTGAGTGATTGTGAGGGCGATGCAATCTGTGAAGTGCCGAGTGAGCAGTATGCCTGTGAAGGTAAGCCACTTGAATCTGACCCAGAAGGTAATGCAAAAAGAATTGGGCAGACTTCAAATGGAGACTCTGACTCCGAAGGCATTTTGAATTCAGAATGCAAGAACAGACACACCAGTAATTATAATTCAAATGTACTTTCTAAAACAAAAAATTCCTCTGTTGGATCTTCAGACGAAGATTCAACGAGCCGTGTTCTAAGAAGTGAAACTGGTAGAAAATTGTCTTCTGAGTCAACTTTGGCACAAAAAACTATTGCAGAGAATAACTTTGAAGAGGAACTGAATTATGGGCTGCGCAGGTGGAATGGAAGACGACTCAGGACCTACGGAAAGGCTCCTTTCAGTAAGACAAAAGTGACTGATGATTCGCAGGCATCAGCAGAGACGGAATTAAAAAGGAAGAGACTGCATCCTGAACTAGAAAATGTGAAAATATCTGACACAACAGGGAGTTCAAAGTTTGGACCTGACACTAGTCCCAAATCGTCAGATTTGGGATCCATGACTGAATCAGATATTGACTGTACTGAAAATACAAAAACCAAAAGGAGGAAAACAAAAGGAAAAGCAAAAGTAGTTAGAAAAGGTAAAACTTTTACAACTAGTGTATCTAAAACTGTGAGACGTCAAAGACAAAGCAAACGACCTAGGTTAAGTGTGGATGATAATGACTGGGAGGATTTGGACTATGCAAAATCTAAAAGAGTTCTTCGACGTTCAAAAATAAAAACGAGGAATCAGGGTAGAAGGACTGTGAGATACCATGATGGGGATGATGATAGAAGTTTAGAAAATGTGTTAGATTTCAGTGATTGCACCTTATGACCTTGAGGGAAAGCCAGTTCATTTAAAGAGGAAAATGGACTGGAATTTATGGTGAAAGCTGGCTGTTGAAATTATTTTTTGTCTTACAATTCAGGGAATATATTTATATTTTTCTATGAAAAGTTATGAATGTGACTAAATCATGACTGTTATTTTTATTTGCACTTGCTGGTCTTTGTAGCAGCATTCAGCACAGGTGCCAAAATGCTTCATTTTAGGGGCAGATCCACTTTGACAGTATTTGACTACACAGAGCATGAGTTTAAAGGATGATAAACACTAGACATCTGGTTATCAGAAACCAATGAGCATTACTTTCATGGTAGCAAGTGTCAAGCAGTCATTTTCTGAGTTTGCCCAGAGGTGGTAGTTTCTAACCCCTGTCCTGTAGTAGTATAACAGTTTCACATGACCTATGTTTACAGATTTTTCATAAATATTATGTGCATACTGACATTACAATCATAGGAGGTGTAACCATGATTAGTAGGCAAGGTACCTACCACTCCCCCCCACCCCCCCTTCCTTGGCTACTTGAGTAGAATGCATTATGCCAGATTTGGTCATTTTCATTGAAATGGTTTCTAATTTTCTTTCCAAATGCTGTTAGATCTTATTTTTTCTTTTTAAGGAAAACATCACTTTTATTTTATAAACTTGAATTTATTAAGTGCTGGCAAATTATTTTAATGTGTTGAGTGAATATTTTAAATTTCTAAGGCCAGAGTAGTCATAGCATTTTCTTTCCAACCATGCACTAAGAAAATGTTACATAATTTGTCCTCTGTCCAAGATCTCCTAATTTCCATTGTAAAGGACTTAACCAAAATCTTTGCTCTTCCATAATTTTACTCTGAATAGAGGAGTTTGTGTGCCTTAGATTTAGGGAAGATGTATTCTTTTAATAGAGTGTACAGGGCTAAAAGAGTATTTAAGTTATATGTAGATTTCCCCAACTATATTGAAATGGTAGAGTTGAGTTTTGTCGAGTGCAATTGCAGATCTTATCTATATAGGAAAACAGTCGATGTCATCCTCCATCTCTGTTTCAGCTTACTGCTGTCATGTGCAATCCTAAGCACGCTGTGCTGGGGCAACTAAGTGTATCTTTCCATGACCTCTTATCTAAATATCAGAGACTGCTGTGTTCTGTGGGGAAATAATTTTGGAATCCATTTAAAGTAAAACCTTATCACACCATCAAATATCAACAGTACATTTACTTGTGAGCCAAATACTTTTACTTGATAGGTTATGCTTCTCCAGTGTAGGTGGCCATTCCTCAGCTTGTTTGTGCCTGAAGATGGACTTGATTCAAATGGTTTACATGTTTAGTAGCTAAGGGGTATATTGTGGTATGCCCATATTTATTTATTGGCCCTAATTGTTTGGTTTCAGACAGAATTAACCCTTTTCTCCTTGGTATCCTGAGGTGGCAGGAAAGCAAAAGCATCTGACTCTGGTTTCAGTGTTAGAGAATGTTCTTAAGTGTTCTACTTTGAGTTATCAATTCCATTTGACATTGTAGGAGTACTTTGTCTTTCTGCTCTGTTAGGAGAGGGACATTTTTGAACATTACCAACTGAGATAGGTGGGATACCTACCTGTCACTGGTGGCTTTACTTCAAAACTAGAATGTTTCTCTCCTCAGAGCTCAAGTTTAAGATTCAGGATGACTGTCTTTGTTGACCTGAAAAAAATAATAGTCTGCCTTTTACCTCTCTGATTTCTAAGTACTGGTAATAGATGTCAGATTCATTGACTTAAATTCTTAAGCTTCTCTGTTTCACATCTATTCTCAGGGTTGTAACTCCATGTTTATCATCATCTGCAAAGAGGTACCAGAAACCCATAAGTAAATACAAAATAACATTCATAAGTACATAAATTCTTTTGGTAAAATAATTTAGGCTGCATGAAGAGAATTGTTCCCATTCTCTGGACTGAATTAACCAGTCTTTGATTGCTTAGGTAACCAGAGCTACTCAGTTTTCTTTATGTCCAAAATGTTTTGATCCTTGTTACAGAAGCAATATTTTGATTTAATCTGATTTGTTTTCATCAAAAAAGTAAAAAGTGGGCAAAGTGACTAGAAGTATGGTTGACGATGGTGGCTTCTCATCTTCTGAACTAAACTAAGGGGGCTATGGAGAAAATAATTTTTATGGATTTGAGGGGGGGTTATGGTGCTATTCCTAAGATTAACTTTGAATATTGACACACTCCTAAGTATCTTTAAGGAAAAGTAATAATTAATAGTTAAAATGTTTACATTGAGCACTAGAACATGTTTGAATTTTTTTCTACTTTATGCAGAATGCGCAGGGATTGAATGCACAGATGTACTTTAATGTTTAGGATCAGTCTGTATTTTCTTGAAAAAAGCAAAGGATAACAAAGTGAATGTGAACTGATCCTGAAATAAGTGCTATAGCTCTCCATTGCACTTGAAGTAATTTAATGGTATAAAATTTTTTTTTTTTTACTGTGGTTGTGTATGTCCAGAGTCCTATGATTTTATTCATTTATGTTTTTTTAAAAGGTTTTGAAATATTTAGATTTGAACTTTACTTCTTTCAAAGGATTAATTTTACTAATAAGCATATTAAGAAAAAATGATTTCACACATTGAAAAGATAGGTGAGATTTAAAAAGTGTTTTCCCTGTGTCCTTATTTAAAAAGGGTGTACTGAAAATGTATAGTATCTCATGAATAAAAGGAAAAATCTATCCCACTTTCAGATAATTCGTAGGGTGGTCATTTTTTTCTCGTTGGAAAATCTGATTCAATAATTTTTCAATTTGATGATCCTTGGAAAGAATGCTATAGCAGTTATGTACAGCTTCTAGGTTATAACACAGAAGTTTCCTCCACATGCTAGAGGCTTACACCTATAAAAGAAATTGGCTTTATAATCAGAAATGGAAGGAAGAATTGAAGTTTTAGAAAAAGGCACTTCAAAAACTGGAAGTACAAATCGAAAGAGACCAACACCACCTGAGGGTATCACTGTCTGAAGACCATGCATCACTGAGTCCTGGGCACTTGCTGGGATCCTCTCAGTAAAAATTCTTACTTTGAGTAACACTGGCTCTTAGCCTTTTTTTTCCCCTCAGAATAATCAAAACACAGAATTTATGAACTTCATTCTATGGTATTAAAAACTAAACTGGGAGGATTTGGTATCTTTTGTCAGTACACGTTGAATTTGTGCCAGCTGAAAAAAATCAGGTTTGTATGTCCATAGAATGCAAGAACACATAAGGGGCGTGCAGTTTTCCTCCATTGTATTGCTTTTTTGAGAAAGTTTTAAGTGGCTAGCAAATGGTCTTTTTGCTTTGCAGTTTTATGGCTGAAATAACAAGCCCCATTCTTTTCATCAGTAGTAAATCCATATATTTACTCGATCATGTATGTGGCAGTTGTCACAAATACTTTTTGTTATGTGGAAATTAGAGGGCAGTTGTTCCCTTGGGAGGGAGTGCAACAAAGCATTGTAGAAAGAACATTTTGCTTGTTAATTTTCAGTAAATTAATACCTTTCCACTTCTGTGAATATCAGAATAATAAAACCAGAAACCCTAAGAAATTTGCAGTTTCACAGTTCAAGACAGTCTCTTGTCCTAGTATTTGAGAACATAAGGACCAAACCAAATAAATTTTTTCAAAGCTAGAGAGAAAATGGGGCAATATAAAAAATTAGATTAATTAATATTAGTCTTTCCTGTAGCTGAAATTGTGAGTTAACGAAATGGACTCAAGGGTAAAGACTGTTGATAGTTCTATTGTCATTTCTTAGATTTTAGGAAAAAATTGTGAAGCTCTTTAAGTTACAGCTATTGCTTAAGGATACATAGTGATTTTCAAAATTAAGATATTTTCCCCAGTCTGTTTCATCATCTGCCAAGATAGTTCCTAATGTATTGTCAGATTAGTAGAAAAATATCAAACTCTAAATTGGTGCCTTCTCAAGGACTGCTTTTTCAGGATTTGATGGAGGGATTGGGGTGGGGCAAATAACTGTAGAAGACTTCTTTAGTCTGGCAAGATGATAGTTTCACTGAATTTGTCAGTGCTACAGTCTATTTTTTGATATTTAAGTTTTTAAGTCCGTTTTAAGGTATGTTTTTATCATTTATTAAAGCCTTAAGGGGCAATTCGGACTGCCAAAGAGAAGAGGTAATCTAACTGACCTAAGAAATGAGATGACCAGGTAGACTGTGAAATATAACAGCCCTACCCTTTGGCTCCGTTAGGTAAGTAATTTAGTATTAATCAGTGGCTAACAGATAAAGGAGCCTGTAAAAATGGCATATATTTAACTTTCCATTTCCACATAAGATCTTTAATGTTCTAAATTAAGTCATTAATGTAGGAGTCAGGTTTTAGATTTACTAAAGCAGTAAAGTACAGTAAATTTAGCTCCACTATCCTAACAAGCAAAGGGCTTTTTAAAGGAACTACTCCAAGCCAAATGCATTCTAGGTGGTAATTCCCTAAGGTCTGCATTTTTGCAGTCAGTTTCCCTCCAACTCATCTTTAGCTCTTGCTGAAGAGTAGTTTCCCCAGCCCCCATCCATTGGCTACTACTTCCTCACCCAGACACAGGCTCGCGAGTGGTAGGTATGAAGCAAGGAGGAACTGAAGCAAGTTAGGAGCCATGCTAGAAAAGGGGTTGTCTGTGACTGTTGCTTTCTATTAGTAAAGGTAAGACAGATGAAAACCTGTGTTTACTTGCTACCTTATCCTGCCTATGTTTAATGTGAAATGTTTTGTGATATATCTTCTAAAAAACTACCTTAAGTAGATGAAGTTCTGTAAGTTTATATTTCATAGAATTGTTGATAAAGTAATTATAATAGTTATCATGTATCTTTGAGAAGTGTAAGGATCACTGATATTACCAATTAACTCTTTCTGCAGGATGAGGGGAAACTGATGAACTAGGTTAGCTAAGGTCCCAAAACAAAAGAATGCAGCATTGTGTGATGCCCATCATTGAGTAACCTGAAACCTGACCATGACTATACTAGAAAAGAACGATTCTAGGCTACTAAATTTTGGAAAATCTCTTTTGGACATTGCCATACAACACGAGAGTACAGTGTCAGCTCCCCCCTAGAAAATACAGAAGTGTTTGCAGACCTAGTGAGTTACTGAAAATTACTGTGTAGTCTACGTTCATTCTCTAAGTAACAAGATTGGAATTTATGGGCGTTTTTGGAAACTTGCGCTTTGCAAAGGATGAAGCCCACTGATAAATGTTGCTTGCTTTCTGAGTTTGGGGTCACTCCATTGCTTATTGGTGAAGGCTATAGAACAAACAAAATCTCAAACCAGTTCTGATGAAAGGCTTGTTTCAGGGAGGGTATAAATAGCAATTGAAGGATTTACCCACTATGTGGATCCTATTTATACACCAGTAACAGCGACCAAGAGTGTCAGTATTATTATAAGTATATGAGGTAGTATAGCATATTTTCATTTCTAGTAATTGTTTTCTCATTCTCAAATAAATTTTTAAGTGTTCTTAAAAAGCTAGATTAAAAAGTTTGATGCTTCTGTAGTAATGATGTTTACTTTGGACTGGGAAAACAACTTTGTGTCATTAAGAACTGTAACTGGAATAAGGCTTTACAGTGTGGAAACTGAAGATCAGTGTTCTAAATTAGATGGTCATGTCTAGATCCAAGTTTCTGTTCACCACAGACCATCTTAAAACACAGACCTGAGAGTCGTAATTTAAAAGTGGTTATCCAGATACACACCATAACGGGATGCTACTACAGATGTAAATTTTGCACTGCTGGTGTGTGTGCAACACGCACAGAAAGGGAGTCACAGGAAAGCAGTGATGCCTCACACACTCAGAAATGTCCCAAACACGTGCACCTGGGACAGTAGGCCTTGTGGACTGAACCACTTGGTAGTATCAAATGACACTATCAGTAGAGTATTGGAGCAGCATCCTCCAAGTTCTTAAGCTTGTACCCTGACAGAATTTGGACTTCTCTCTAACCCTGAATTATTCTGTATGTTTCTAAAACTACTTGTTTTCTCAAAGAGAATAAAGCACTTTAACATTGACAGAGTTTTCAGTAATAACATTGACTATCACATTTTAAAATCTTTTTTTCTGTAAAAATCCCATTTTGTCACCCATGATTTTAGACATACATCTTTATCAAGTTGTAGTTACTAAGTACAGTGTAATTGAAAGTTCCCTTTAAAATATGACGGAATTTTTCACTTTTTTTTCTCCAGACCCTTTCTCTTTTTCTACAGTAGAAATGAGCATTTGTTAAAATGTCATAGTGTGAGTATCAGGTTCCTAAATTGTCAGTACAGTTTACACATGAAAAAATTGCTACAACTTCCATCATGTTATAAAGACATTTTTTAGTTGTTAATGGGATTTCATCTGTATTACTCAATTGGGTGTGTTGTTGGGAACCAAGCAGTTATTTTATCCAGCATGCAGGAGGGTGCAGTCAGTTGATCAATAACAATATATCATGTCCTCCCATAAAGTGCACATTTTGTCTAAATTTTGCCATGCATATTTTAAAACTTTTTCACTCACCTTTTGAAACATTTTATATTCTAGCATTTGCCTATCACTGATTTAATATGTTAAGATTCATTTCATATAGTGTTGATCTGTTGGAGATACTAGTTTATAATCAAACAGTTCCTGAGAAAGCTGTTCTTTGAAGGGGAGGAAACACTGCACTTTAAGCCACTCTCCCACAGAGCCCAGCTAACAGAGGTGAAAGGGCACGCTGCATGGATGTAGTGCCATGGTCATCTGTGCCTGCTGAGACGCCATTTGCAATGCCTGGCGACTTAAACTGAACAAAATCATCTGTAGGAATAAATTCCATCACGTGAAATCACGTAATTGGCAAAAGGGATGGATATGTGTGACGGGGCTGCTTTGAAGTATTACTTCACCTATCTTGGGAGAACAGCTTTGCATTTGTTTCATGTTTAAGGTAAAAAAAAAAAAAAAAAAAGGCCATCATGAGGGCAGACACCGTTTGTAATAATTCTGACTACACGAATATGTCAGTCCACAGAGGCATTTCACCTGTACTCAATTTGCCTAGTAATCAGCTTGGTGACAGAAGAGCAAATGGCTCCATAAGAGGAAAACAGGTTGGTGGTTGCTGGTTTCACTGCTATAGAATAAGAGTGTTACCCCATAATACCTGACCAAAAAGCCCTTATTTTTCAGTAGGGGAAGGAGAATTTGCAGAGTCCTCCAGAAGTCTAGTGTGGCTGCAAGATACCAAATGTGGTTTTCTGGAAATCTCCCTTCCAGACGACTGTACCATGAAGGCAGTTTTAGGTGGTTTCACTCTTCATTGGCTGCAAGACTAGCTTGCCAACAAATAATGGCCTAAAATTTTGGGGCTTGGGGGGACTTTGAGATGCATTAAGGAAATGTCAAGGAAGTACCGCTCTGCCTTAAGATCTGGCTTTGAGACAGTGGCAATAGTTTAATTATAAAAAGATGTGTGCCCATCTCAATTTGGTAAACAGTGGTGACTGCACAGTACTTGTGTGACCTCAGGTCACCTTCCGGAAACCACTTCCCTGTGAAGCACTTGCCTTTCGTCCTGCCTTCTGTCTGGAAAATCCTACACGGTTTTTAACTCTGCTGAAATGAAGCCCTCCTTGACCCCTTAGACTAGGTTAGGTTTCACAGCACCCTGCACTTCTTAGTTCCTCAAAGCAGCTATGATATATGGACATAATTATTTTCAGCATTTTTATCCTAATCATATCTGTGTCTGGCATATACCTAGCTTAAAAAACACATGAGTAACAAATGAAGACTTAAATTCCAGTTATATGAAATGGTCAAATATTTGAAAAAACATTAAAGCCACATTTCAGTCAAATAAAATTGGTGTACTTTATTTTTGATTGACTAGTTAACTAATTTAACAGTTTTTTGAACACAGGAAATACTGGTCTTGGAATTAAAACCTTAAGGATCATCTTGAAGCCAGGGCGGATGCTGTGTCTGCAGAGATAGGGTCACATTTTTTTGGATCTAGGGAAATTAATTCAGAACTATTGAATATTTTAAAGTACTTTAGCATAGAAGATTAGGATTGATACCAAAAATTTAAAACACAAGGTTCTACTTTTAAAATTTCAATCTTGAATGTGTTTTCAGATTATCAGCTTTGTGATGCTCAAAATATTTCAAACTCATTCTTTCAAGTCTGTTACTAAGTGACAGTTCTGTTTATGGAATGTAGATAAAATGTATAGTTACCTACATCACAGCGTTTAGTATTATGCTTTTTAATTTAAGCATTGTGAGCTGTAAAATCTAGGAATGTGAGTACTGTTGAGGAATGTTTAGTACAATCTTGTGTTACAAGATTTTTGCATTTACATGAACTTTCACTCATTTTTCAGAGTCTGTTCCTAGAGACAGAGAACCCAATACAAAAGTGAGAACATGTGTGCATAATCAGAAGGATGCAGTGCACATGCCTAGTGAAACTCTGAAAACAAAAATGGTACCCGAGAAAGTTCCCCGCAGATGTGCTGCTGTTGCTGCAAATAAAATAAAGATAATGAGTAACCTAAAAGAAACGATTTCAGGACCAGAAAATGTCTGGATTAGGAAGAGCAGCAGAAAACTGCCCCATCGAAATGCTTCTGCTGCGGCTAAGAAAAAGTTACTGAATGTTTATGAGGAGGATGACCCAACCATAAATTCTGAAAGTGAAAAGAGTTAGAAGATGTTAATAGCAAACTGGTTTTTTTTTAGGTGGTTCAGATCCAGGAAAGAAAAAGCACAATAGTGACTGTAAGAATGTAGAAGTGGTGTCTGAAAACAGAGGCCACAAGTACCTTTTGCTTCTAGCTCTAAAGTCAATCCCTTATTGGTGTCTTGAGTTTTCTAAAAGCCATACAGCCAGAGGGTCCAAGTGGGAGGAATGCGTCCTCTGGTCAGCCCGGGTGCAAATCACTATGGGAACTACGGGAAACTGAGGAGGCTGGGGCTGTGGGGAGGGGGAAGGAGAGTTGCAAGCGCTGCCCTAGGATCGCTATACCTTTGCAGGACACAGGGCCACAGAGAAATCTGATTCCTTAGAGGAAGAATGTAAAGGGAGGTGTAGCAGGTTATGTGGGGAAAGTTTTAATTTCAAAATCTCAACCTTATGTCAAGGGTTCACTATTAGGATATAAAAACTGAGACCACCATGAGCAGGTGACATTAATGAAGCCACAGAGAAGAGGCACAGTTTCAAAGGACCTGCCAAGGAGGTGATTTTTGACTTCTGAGTGAAGCAAGACTTAACACTGAGATATCCATGCTTTTTAATTCACTTTCCCAAAGGTCAACAACCTGAAGGCCCAGGGCTTCAGTGCTGGGGATGTCGATCGCTGAGTTCTGAGCGTCGAAAATAAGAGAAAACCCATTGTCTTATTTTGTTTATAGTACTGGAATTCATACCTAACAGTGACCACTTGATATGATTAATTCAGGGAATATATATTTTTCTATGAAAGTTAGGAATATGATTCTCATAGCTTTTGCTCATTTCTACTTTTCACGTAGTAGCATTTACAGAAATGCCAAAATGTACCTCATTAAGAGGCAAGTCTTAGTTTTAATCAGAACATCTCTTTAGATGACAGAGTGAAATCTTTCATGCTTATTACATCACATTAAAAGAACTTGAACACTGAGCAAATTTACTACAATCTCATCACACACTTTATAGCAGCATGTCTGGCCTGTTTTGTTGTGGTCTTTGATAGGATTAGAAAAGCTGGCCATGGCACTACAAAGAATTTACTTGCAATGAGGTTTAATTTGTTGTTAACAGACATTTGTTGAAATTAAGATCACCAGATTAAATGAATGTACTGTCAAATCTTAATAGAAAGATGTTAAATAGTCCTAAGCAAGTTGTTTTCCCGTTGGAAAAAAAAATCTGTGAATCTATGATTTGCATGTGTAAACCTAAACCTGAAAAAGTAAAATACAGAAATCTAGGAGTTTATTTTTAAGACTAATGCATATTTTTTGGTTACCAGGTGGATGGACCAAGTGTTCAGATTATTTGAGAAATTTGTGGTTGCATGTTTGTTTTAAAAAAAAAGGCTATTTTTTTAAAAAGTACAAGTCAGAATATTCTAAGCGACAGTGTGTGTCCTTTGCTCTTTCATGCGGTTCACTTTAATCTGAAATACTGATCCCCAGCATCCTGTTGCTAGCACAGGCGGGACAAGGAGGCGTTCCTAATAAACTGCTGCCATTTTCAGGTGCATGGGGTTTGCTTTCTGAGCGCTAATGAAACGCGGAAATGCATTTCCAGTCCCAAACTTACACTCGTTCACTGCAGTTTCTTACAGGGCGTATTATAGCCTCAAGAAATACCATCACATATTTAAGTCTCAGTGAAGGCTTTTACGTACAATTTTTTTTTTAATAATTTCGGTGTAATGAAAACTTAAGCTTTGAGTCAATAGCTGGCGGGGTTAATTCCTGTCAGTATTTGAGACTGTACGGGCCTTTCATAACAGAATCCTCCTTGCTGGTTTAGTATTTAATTTGAACACAGATTCGCCTTTAAACAAAAGCCGCTTGGCCTGAATACACGTTAAGTGCATGAAGTAAGTGTGTTTCAGGAAGTCCGCATTCTTGTCAAGCTGTTCTCTCCGGGACGGGCAGTCCGGCGGTGGCCACCGCTGACGTCACCCTGCTTAACAGGGCAGTGGGCAGTGCAGGGGCGAGGTGGTGGGCCCCAGGCGGGGCCGGGGGCCGGCGATGCCTGTCCGGGGCGCCCCGCTCACGCTGGAGTCCCGCGCCCACGGGCGCAGCTTTTGCCCCCGGACGTCTCATTCTGCCGCGAACCCCCAGCTCTGAGTACGATGGCTGAGTAGCAGGTTCTCCCGCCTCTGGCCGGACGGCGTTCCTAGCACGGCTGAGGCGCTCGGTGGCCCCGGGCTCGCGCGCCCCGCTCACCGCCCCCGGCCGCCCCCACGGGTTCCGTGCAATCGCGAGTGGCCAAGCTTAAAGAAACAAACCTCCGTGCGCGTCCTCGAGCTTCCCGGCAGCTGCGGGGCTGGGCAGAGGCCTCGCTTCCCGCCGCGGCGTCTTCCTCACGCCCGCCCGCCCGGGGCCCGCGGCCGCCACCACCTGGCGCGCTCGAGGTCCGGAGCAGGTGTGCACACACCAAAGTCCAGCCCTGTCGCTCCTAACGGAAAACGAGAAGGGGCCCGAGGGAAAGGAAACGCGTGAGGGGCGCACGCTCTGCTAAGCGCCGCGCCCTGGGTCCAGGTCCGTCACCTGCCCGGGCCGGACACGCCTCCCGGCCTCCGCGCGCCCCGCCCACCGGGTCACGTGCTCGCCCCTCTAGCCCACAGTCCTCCAGTCTCGGTGTCCTCGCCCGCCTCACGCGGCGGAAGAACAGGCTCCGGACTTCCGGGGCCGCCCCGTCACTGAGGGGCGCCAGGGGGCGTGGCCCTCCGCGCGCGGGTGCGCCTGGGGGCGTGGCCCCGCGCCGTGGCGCGTGCGCCGTCTCGCGCCGCCGCAGTTGTGCCCGACCGGCCCCGGGAGACCATGGCGGCCACGTTCTTCGGAGAGGTGGTGAGGGCGCCGTGTCGGGCGGGGACCGAGGAGGAGGAGGAGGAGGAGGAGGAGGGCCGGAGGGAGACGCCCGAGGACCGGGAGGTGCGGCTGCAGCTGGCGCGGAAGAGGTGAGGCCCTGCGGGGAGGCCGGGAGCCGGGGCCGCGCTGCCGGGGAAGCGCCTCAGCCCCGCCGCCGGGCAGGTGCGCGCGGCCCGGGAGGCCTCGGGCGCCCGCTGCCGTGGGCCTGAAGCGGGGGAGGGAGGCGTGCGTTCAGGCTGGTCCTTGCCGGTGTGCGGAGCGGCCTCCGTGCCCTGCCCGCGTCCGTCCTGGGCTTCTCGGGCCCCGACCGGGGCCGCAGCGGCTGGGTGAGCGGGACGCGCCCGCCAGGTCCGGGGGAGGGAGGAGAGTGACCACGGGTCCGCATCAGGGTCAGCAGCGGCTGGATGTGCGGGACGTGCCCGCCCAGGTCCGGGGGAGGGAGGAGAGTGACCACGGGTCCGCAGCGGCTGGAGGTGCCAGAGGCGCCTGCCCAGGTCCGGGGACGGGGGAGGAGACCCCCGGTCCGCATCAGGGTCCGCAGCGGCTGGAGGTGCGGGACCCGTCCGCCCGCAGAGTGACGGAGGGAGAGACAGAATCTCGCGTCCATTGGGTCACTCCCCACTTGGCCGCAACAGCCGGGATTGGGCCAGGAGCTCCATCCGGGTCTCCCACGTGGGTGGCAGGGGCCCCACTACACTTCCGGAGGTGAATTATCACGGAGCTGGGTTCGCAGTGGAGCAGCTGGGACTTGAGTGGGTGCTTCGGCACTGGGTGCCAGCATCGCAAGTGACGCTTAAGCCCCGCCCCACAGTCAAATTTACTAGTTTCCTCAAGCATACAGGGAGTTGTGCAAGTCAGAATCCTGATAAAGGTGCACACATGATGTTTATATAACCACTTATTTGAGAGACGAAGAGAGCACCCGTGGGAACTCTTGGTTCATTCCCCAAATGCGTGGAACAGTGGGGTGGGCTGCAAGCCAGGAACTCAATCCGAGACCCTCGGGTGGGTGACAGGTGCCCAGTTACTTGAGCCAGCCCAGGGCCTGCATTGACAGGAAGCTGGAATTGGGAGCAGAGTCCAACTGGGACTAAGGCTTTTTTTTTTTTTTTTAAGATTTATTTTAAAGATTTATTTTAAAGATTTATTTTCTATTTGAAAGAGTTATGTAGAGAGAGAAAGAGAGAGAGAGAGCGCGCACTACCATCAGCTGGTGCACTTCCCAGATGACCACAGTGGCTGGGGCTGGAAGCTCGGGGCTTCACCTGGGTCTCACATGGGTGGCAGGGGTCCAAGCACCCAGGCCGCCACACAGGAGCTGCATAAGAAGTGGAGCAGCTGGGACACAAACTGGCGCCCACATGGGGCGTTGGTGTCCCAGGTGGCGGCTTTACCTGCCAGTGTTCTAACTGCTACCCACCCGCCCCCAGCATACTGTGCTTAGACATTTCATCTGAGGTAGAGCTCGCCCTCTCCCCAGATGTGTGCTTTCTCCCCTGCTGAGAACCTGGCTGTCCTGTCTAACGTCCCACAGTATGGATTTGTGAGCGCCGCCACACGGTGTCAGTTAACATTAACATTTCCTGGAAATGTCAGATTCACTTTTTCTTTCGAAAAATTTGTTTCTTTTTTTTAAAAGATTTATTTATTTTTTACTTGAGAGTCAGAGTTACACAGAGAGAGAAGGAGAGGCAGAGAGAGAGAGAAGGAGGGGAGGGAGGGAGAGAGGTCTTCCATCTGCTGGTTCACTCCCCAGTTGGCCACAACAGCTGGAGCTGTGCCGATCTGAAGCCAGGAGCCAGGAGCTTCTTCCAGGTCTCCCATGTGGATGCAGGGGCCCAAGGACTTGGGCCATCTTCTACTGCTTTCCCAGGCCACAGCAGAGAGCGGGACTAGAACCGGCGCCCATATGGGATGCCAGGGCTTCAGGCCAGGGCATTAACCCACTGCACCACAGCGCTGGCCCCAAATTTATTTGTTTCTTTGCAAGTCAGTGTTACAGAGACAGAAGGAAAAAGAGATAGATCTTCGACCTGCTGGTTCAGTCCCCAGATGGCCACAGTGGCCACGGTTGAGCCAGGCTGAATCCAGGAGCCTCATCAGGGTCTCTCAGGTGGGTGGCAGGGGCCCAGGCACTTGGGCCATCGTCTGCTGCTTTTCCCGGGCACATTAGTGGGGAGCTGGGTCAGAAGTAGAACAGCTGGGACATGGACTGAGTGGACTGAGGCCCATGTGGGCTGCCAGCATTCCGGCGGCAGCTTCGCCACAACTCCGGCCCCCAGATTCACAGGCAGCATTTGGTTTGAAGGCTGCTTTGCAGTGGTGCTGTTTCCTGTTGCTCGTTCTACCTGCGGTCTCACTGCTGGGGAGCAAAGGCTGATGAGAGGGTCAGGCGGTGGCCTGGTCTGCGCTTGTCCTGGTTTTCTCTGTTGGTTACCATTGCCTGAGTCCATTGTTTTCTTGGGGTTGTTCTTCACAGGTGTGTTTTACCTATTGCAACGTAGCATGCAGTGGGCTCTTGTTCACAGTATTCTGATTAAGCTGAGGTTGTTTTAGTTTCATCTTATTTCTTGTGTTAGGGAGGTACGGCTTCTTCGAAGACAAACGAAAACGTGTTTGGAATTTTCCCTGCTGGAAAAGCATCCTTGCTCCAGGTTTATCATTGCCATAGGCAGCAATGCAGTAGGTGAGTGCAACGGGGACCGCTGAGTCTCCCGACAGCCGAAGCTGCTCGTTTGCTTCTGTTATGAAAGGTTGCAAGTGCTTGTTAATTAAAAAAAAAGCCATAATGTTATTTCTGAGTAAAACTTATATCCTGCTCATGTACCATCTTTCTAATAAACCTAAAAAATTTAAAGGAAGTGTTATTGAACTTAAGGCGCAAGGAAATGTTTCTAGTGTGTTGAACTATCCAAGTTTGTGTAAATTTTTAAAAATTTTTATTTTTTATTTTAAATGTAAAGTGCCAGAGAGACAGACGCACAGAGAGAGAGAGACATCGGTCTTCCATTTGCTGTTTCACGTCCCAAATGCCTGCAGCTGGGGCTGGACCGGGTCAAAGCCAGGAGCTCCGTCCTCGTCTCCCATGTAGACGGCAGAGACCCAAAAGCTTGAGGCATTGTCTTCTGCCTTCCAGGGTGTGCATTAGTAGGATGGGAAGCAGAGATGGGACTTGAACCCAGGCACTCCGATATGGCTATGAGCATTCCAAGTGGCGACTTCATCTGCTTTGCCACAGTGCCTGCCCCATACTTAAATATTTGTGAGTTAACAGAGTCCTTTGAGAACACGATGAGAACTCTAACAAGTGCTGGCATTTTTGACCACTCAAGTCCAAGGTCTTTGCACTTCCTGATGTACTTGTTGGACTAAAACGAGCAGTGTTGATGTACCCAGAAGGGCCCTGTAGTTTCAGGAGGCTCACACGCTCTGAGGGGAGCCTTCAGGGCTTTGGTTGGATCCTTGCCCCTCAAAGGCACCCCGGTGCTGGCTGAACACAGTGACTTGCTGGCGCTGGGGCGCAGTGGGTCAAGCTGCCACTTGTGACGCCAGTGTCCCGTATCAAAGTGCTGGTTTGAGTTCTGGTTACTCCCTTTCTAGTTCAGCTCCCTGCTAATGGACCTGCAAAGGCAGTGGAAGATGGTGCAAGTCCTTGGGCTCCTACCACTTGGGACAGAGTTCCTGGCTCTTGGCTTGCCCGGGCTCAGCCCTAGCTATTGTGGCCATCTGGGGAGTAAATTTGTGGATAGAACATCTTTCTCTCTCTGTCTCTGTCTCTCTCTCTCTCTTTTTCTCTCTCTGTTGGACTGCCTTTCAAATAAACTAGCAAACAGAAATGAATAAGTAAATCTTAGAAAACAAGAACGTAGTAACTCGGGTAGATAACTGTTGTCATTTATGTAAAGTTCTGCTGGTCTAGGATTTTTCCAGGGGAGTGTTCCCCGTGAGTATCGTACAGACTCGCTGTCCTACTCAGGGGTGGCCTTTGAGTTCCCGAGGGCTTGATCTTCTTTCCTACAGAGTGGTGACATTGGGTAGACGCTATTCAGTGGCCCTTTCCTCTTGAATATTGACTATAAAATGCAGCTTACAGAGCCCACCACTAACTTCTGTGAATTGCTTTCCACAGCGTTTCTGTCATCATTTGTTATGAATTCAGGAGTCTGGGAAGAAATCGGTTGTGCTAAACTCTGGAATGAATGGTGTAGAACAGCAGACTCGACCCTCTTGTCCCCCTCGGAGGCTTTTTGTGTGTTTTATCAACTGAAAGCTCATCACTCGGTATGTGGGACTTGCCTTGGGTGTCCAGGAAGTGCAGTCGAGCATCACTGGGGGTTCCTCTTGGGCGCGCCCTTGGCGTCCCGTCTGCCGGGTCCCGGCCGCCTGTCAGGGTGTGCTTCTGGCGCTGACTGCCAGCAGTGGCTGGATTCTTCAGTTTTACAGAAACAGGTCGCTGCAGAGTCAGGGCGGTGAGCGCTCTCAGGGGTGTGTCGATGGCGGCAGTTCTGGGAGTGAGCGCACGCACTTGACTGATGGATGTCAGGGGTGTGTCGATGGCGGCAGTTCTGGGAGTGAGCGCACGCACTTGACTGATGGATGTCAGGGGTGTGTCGATGGCGGCAGTTCTGGGAGTGAGCGCACGCACTTGACTGATGGATGTCAGGGGTGTGTCGATGGCGGCAGTTCTGGGAGTGCGCGCACGCACTTGACTGATGGATGTCAGGGGCGTGTCGATGGCGGCAGTTCTGGGAGTGAGCGCACGCACTTGACTGATGGCTCTCAGGGGCGTGTCGATGGCGGCAGTTCTGGGAGTGCGCGCACGCACTTGACTGATGGATGTCAGGGGCGTGTCGATGGCGGCAGTTCTGGGAGTGAATGCACGCACTTGACTGATGGATGTCAGGGGTGTGTCGATGGCGGCAGTTCTGGGAGTGCGCGCACGCACTTGACTGATGGATTCTTGGGTTCCGATTTTCCAGGTGATCCTTTGTCAGTGCAGCTGCTACGTTGCTGAAGATCAGCAGTATCAGTGGCTGGAAAAGGTGAGAGAAGCGAGCTGTGAGTGGGGACTGCGCGTTGCCATTTGAAAACCACAAAAAACATCATTTATCTGACAGACGGCATGTCAGAGAGGGGAGAGTCCGTCAGCTGGTGCACTCCTCATAGTGCCCACCACAGCCGGGGGTGGGTCAGGCTGAAGCCAGGAGACTCGAACTCCAGCCAGGTCACCCACGTGCGTGCAGGAGCCCATGCTGGAGTCAGCGCCTGCTGCCTCCCGGGTGTGTTCGCAGGAAGCAGGAAGCGGGTGGGAAGGCAGAGGCAGGACTTGACTGCAGGCGCTCCGGGGGATGTGGCCATCCCAAGTGGCAGCCTACCCTGCTGCGCCGTAACGTCTGCCCCGACTGCTGCTTTTAAAGGGTTCAGTCTCTTCACTTAACCCACTGTAGCAAAGTAGTGATGTGGGAAAGGAATTTGTTTTTTTCTTAAAAATATTATGGGAGTTTGGGCCTGGCATTGTGGTGTAGTGGGTAAAGCTGCCTCCTGCAATGCTGGCACCCCACATGGATGCTGGCTTGTGTCCTGGCTGCTCCACTTTGCATTCAGCTCCCTGGTAATGGCCTGGGAAAAGCAGCAGAAGATGGCCCAAGTGCTTGGGCCCCTGTACCTACGTTGGAGACTCAGAAGAAGATCCTGGCTCCTGGCTTCAGCCTGGCCCAACCCCAGCTGGTGTGGCCTTCTGGGGCGTGAACCAGCAGATGGAAGACCTCTTTCTTTCTCTCTGTCTCTGAGTTTCAAATAAATATCTAAAAAAATACATTGGGAATTTGTAGCAGAATATAAAGAATAAGGTAACTTTTATTTAGTGTGACCAACCTGACAGATAAGAGGGTCTTCAGAGAGTCCCTGGGAAATGCTTGTCATGGAGAGATTCTGGGGAAATGATGGGTGTTTCAAACATTTTCTGTACCAAAATTAACGTACCTCACATTCCCTCTCATGAACTTCCTAAAGTGCCTTGTGAAATGTTAACTATTTTGCCTTTATTCATAAAGCTGTGATGATGAGATTTGTCTTAACAAATCATTTTTGGTGCTTAAAATGAACTCTTCAGTTGCATTGTTAGAAGTAGCTGTTTTCTTATCTTCAGAAAATAATTTGAAACTAAGTATACAGTAAACTGAAATCTGTGCCCTTTAAGATGCAGCTGCTGTTTTGTTTATATCGTCATAGATCGTATTAAAGGTGGGGTCGTCCCTGGAAATCTAAAATCCAGTTCCTCAGGTTGCAGAGGACCCTGGGGTTCCAGCGGCTGAAACTCACCTCTGAGAGGAATAACTCAGGGGGAAGTGAGGGCGGGCGTCTGGCCTCACTACCAGGTGCTGGTTAGGGTGTCTGTGTCCCACATCGGAGCGCCTGGGTTTCACAGTGGCCCTGGCTCCCAACTCCAGCTTCCTGCCAGTGCAGACCCTAGTAGGCCAGCAGCCCAGCAGCGATGGCTCCAGTGCCTGGGTCCTGCCACCAGTGTGGGTCACCTAATTTGAGTTCCCAGTGCCTGGCTTGACGTCAGCCCAGCCCTGGCCATGGTGGACATCTGGGGAACGAACCAGCTGATGGGAGTTCTCCCTCTCTTGTCTGCCTCTGACGTGGGAAAAAAAAATGAATTGAATGAGAGTCACTTTTCTGCTGTCATGAGCGTAGGGTGTGTATTTGTGACTTTTTTTTTTAAAGATTTATTTATTTGAAAGACACAGTTACAGAGAGAGGTAGAGACACAGAGAGAGGTCTTCCATCTGCTGATTCACTCCCCAGATGGCCACAATGGCCTGAGCTGTGCTGATCAGGAGCCAGGAGCTTCTTCCGGGTCTCCCACGTGGGTACAAGGCCCCAAGGACTTGGGCCACCCTCTACTGCTTTCCCAGACCATAGAAGAAAGCTGGATCGGAAGAGGAGCAGCTGGGACTAGAACTGGCACCCATATGGGATGCTGGCGCTTTAGGCCAGGGCTTTAACCCGCTGCGCCACGGCACCTGCCCCATGACTCACTGACTCTGGACACAGTCCCGCAGTCATTTACTCCCCGTTACAGCTCTCTTCAGTAGGCTCACAGACGAGGAAGGGACTTGGAAGTAGAACCAAGATCAAGCCCAGGTCGGGGACAGTTAAGGGTGTGCCGTCCACTGCTGCCAGAGGTGCTGTTTCCTGGCCGTGGTGCTGAGTGAGTGACCCCAGGACTGTTTCCATCCAGTAACAGTTATATGCTGCTTTAATTTGAACTCCATTTTCTGCCAGGTGTTTGGCTCTCGTCCAAGGAAGAACATGCAGGTAACCATTCTCACCTGTCGACACGTTACGGACTATAAAACCTCAGAATCTACTTGCAGCCTACCTTCTCCTTTCTTGAAAGCTCTGAAAACCGAGAATTTCAGAGACCAAACGTGCTGTTCGCTGCTGGAGCAGCCAAACATCGTCCATGACCTGCCCGCCGCAGGTGAGTTTAAAATCCCAAATGTTTGGGTGACGTCTTACTGTTTTGTTCATTCTTTCACGATTAGAGATCTTTGTGAAGCGGTCTCTTCATGACGGTTGGTACCAGTAGTTGCTGTTACTCCCATGTTGTCTGTGTTGGGAGTAGCTGAGATTCCTTAGAAACTGTTAGGGTTCAAGGCTGCTCTGGTTCTTTTGGATCTGTGGTAACTCAGCACGCAGGCCAGCACTAACCGTGCAGTGCTGGCGTATGAAGTCTGTTAAGCACATTTAATTAGCAGAATAGAAAAGTTTGGATATGGAAGCTTGCTAGTTGCTTTAATATTTTACTTATTTATTTGAGCTTTTTTTTTTTTTTTTTTTTTTTTGAAAGAGTTACAGGGAGAGCTCTTCCATCTGCGGGCTCACTCCCCAGGTGGCTGCCATGCCAAAGTCTGGGCCAGACCAAAGCTAGGAGCCAGGAGCTTTATCCTGGTCTCCCACAGGGCTAGCAGGGGCCCAAGTACTCAGGCCATCAGTGTGGAGCTGGGTAGAAGGTACAAACCAGTACCTGCGTGGCATACCGGCTTCCCAGGCAGCGGCTTCGCCTGCTGTGCCACAACACAAGCCCCTATGGTTTTTGTTTAAATACTTTTTATTTATTTATTTGACAGGTAGAGTTATAGACAGTGAGAGACAGAGACAGAAAGGTCTTCCTTCTGTTGGTTCACTCCCCAAATGGCTGCTACAGCCGGTGCTGTGCCGATCCGGAGCCAGGTGCCAGGTACTTATGCTGGTCCCCCATGTGGGTGCAGGAGCCCAAGCACCTGGGCCATCCTCCACTGCCCTCCCGGGCCACAGCAGAGAGCTGGCCTGGAAGAGGAGCAGCCGGGACTAGAACCGGTGCCCATATGGGATGTTACTCCGCTGCAGGCGGAGTATTAACCAAGTGAGCCACGGCGCCGGCCCCCAGCCCCTATGATTTTCATGTGCTGTCACTAAACCCTCCTATCATGTCAGAAATAGATTGCCATTTATTTTCTGTAAGTAGATTGTGATATATATTTGCTATTTTTAAAATGAATTTTATTAAACTAAAATGAGTTTTTTTCCTTTAATGTGAACTTTACTAGAAAGTGGCCAAATATTTTACATTATGCATTATTTACTTATTTACATATAATCCTTGCATCAGTAAAATTTTAATCTTTCAGCTACTTAAAATTGTCTCAGTATGTTTAGGCAATGAGACATAAAGATAGTATTTGCAGAAACGAGATTATTAGGAAAATAAGTTGGTTTTGAAAGAAAATAACGTGTTTGAAGTCAGAATGGCAGTAAGTGACTTGATTAAAAGAGGAAAGAGAGGTGACTGTTTCACAAAGCCAGCTTTATGATTCAAAGCAGTCTAATTTGAACGTATGCTAGACTTACTGGTTTTCCTCCGCATTCATAGTTCTGAGTTACTGTCAGGTGTGGAGCCTCTCTGCGGTTCTGTACTTGTGCTACACTGATGTGATGAAACTGGACCTGATCACAGTCGACGCGTTTAAGCCTGTGCTTTCTTCCAGAAGCTTCAAAGGTTTGGTTAAGGTAAGGTTTTCACTCACGTGAATTAAGACCCACGTTACAGTAATGAACTTGATAACAAATACCAACATGCGATGTCAACTTAAATCCCAACCGCACGTGGAGATCCTTTGACCTCGGAGCAAAGCTCCCAGCCTGACAGCTGAATTTGGTAGTCAGCGGCTCTTCCAGATACACTGTGCTCCTTGCAGAATCGTTCTGTGTGACGGACGATGCAGTGCTGTTAAAGCCCAGAGCTCTGTGTGGCGTGATGGTTTTATTTTCTAAGTGTCTCTCACTGCTTTGGGATGTTAATTTTGCTAAGGTATTTCTGAGTATCTTATGAATCAAGTTATTATAAAATGTATTCCCATGATTGTGCCGAGAACGGGATATGTGGAGATATGAGAATCATACTTGGGGGATGAACCTGTTTCCTGCCCTCAGTTTGTATCTGTGGGCTCATTTCCTAGAGGGATCAGCAACAGAACACATCGTGGATGTCTGCGAGCTGTGCCGTGTCGGGCGGTGTGTGGACTCCCCTGCGTCCTCTGACACGTTGGCCCTGGCTTAGGGACTGCAGTGTCCCACAGCCCTGTTTGTTTCCGGAACGGCCACTGAGGTTAAGATTTCGTGGCAGGTTCTGTTGGAGGTCGCTCATTTCACAGATCTCAAATCAGTCTCACTCACTCGTCAGCTCCTTGCCGCAGCAGCTGGTGCTTTTCATTTTGGTGTCCTTATCGCACCGTGTCCCCGGCATGGAGGGAAGGCGCTCAGTTACCACCTGTGGAATCAATGGAGAGCGAAACTGTGGAACTCTGATTTAGTATACTTCCAGCTTATCTTTCAAGTTAGCAGAGTCAGGGATAGTCGGATTGAGTTATCGGGATCCCTTTCAAAGTTGGTACTAAGGACTGGTTTTGTTTGCCTATGTAGTTAGCTGACTGAGCCATCCACTTATTTTTTAGATTTATTTTTATTTATTTGAAAGGCAGAGAGCGCTCTTCTGTCTGCTGATTCACTCCCCCAGATGCCTACAACAAGCTAGGGCTGGGCCAGGCTGGGGCCAGGAGTCTGGATCTCAGCCTAGGCCTTCCGCACGGTTGGCAGGGACCCGAGCACTAAGCTGTGGCCTGCTGTCTCCCAGGATGTGCGAAAGTAGGAAGCTACAGTCAGAAACGGAGCGGGGACTTCAACACTTGTGCTCCAATACAGAACGCAGGGGCCCCAGCCAGAGTCTTTGACTGCTGATTCACCTGCTGTGGACACCCCACACCCCATCTTAACTTAGCATTGATTCCCTGAGCGTAGGGGCTGGCATCTGCTCACAGGTGCTGTGTGAACATTGGGGTCCATATTGAAAATTGTAAGTCACCTGCCACGTAGGGTTCAAGTGAACTGTCAGCTATTAAAAGATCTCTCTGAAGAGGAAATTCAACAACGTTCATTTCTTGCTTTGAAGATAATGATTTGTACACGGGTCTGATGGTTGCTCTGAAGAGTGCTGCTGTTTTCATGACATGAGTCACCTTGGTTCATCGTTGCTGTCTGCTGGCTGCGGTGTGTGTTCTGTGAGGTGGCTGGCTTGAGTACCCACCACGAGGTGCCTGCCGCAGGGCCTCCTGAGCCACTGAGGTGCTGGGCTGGTGATGCCCCGTGTTGTGTGCCAGCCAGGGAGCAAGATGGTGAACTGAGGCTGGGCTCCTTGGAGGTGGTGCAGCTGGCTTAGTGGGCAGAGAGGTGTGAGAGGAGCAGCCTGAGCACCGTGTGAGGAGATGGGCGCGGTGTGGGGGTGTGGAGGGGAGGCAGGCTGGGGCCGTGCCATCGCGTGATGCCCGGGAGGCCGAGGGGCACCTGTAGACGTGGCAAGGGAGGGACGCCCTGCGGCGCTGTCCCACGCGCCTTTCCTCGGAAGGGCAGCAGCACCTGTTCCCTTTGGGTGCCCTTCTCCGTGTGAATCTCGGGTGTGGGGGATGGGAGTGTGTGTTGCTTCTCACCCAGCTCCTCTTCTCGCTGTGTTCTTAATTGTTCCCTTCCAGAATATTCCTCAGAGCACAGAGATACTGAAGAAATTGACGACAACAAACCAGATTCAGAGTAATATTTATACATGACCTCAGAGACTGTAATGCGTTTCCCTTCCATTCCTTTAAGGGGAGCAGTGTGCCCTGTTTTGTAAGTTACTTTTTTTTTTGATGGGTGGAATATATTTTGAAGGAGACAAAAAATAAACTGTAAGAAAATTAATTACAGTTTCACATGTTTATTTATGGTGATATTATTCACAGCTGCAATAAGCCAGAAATCTGTCTTTTATCCACTAGGTGGGAGTATTATTTCACTTAAATGTTTTAGCATAATACAGTAAAATTTTTGAAGCTGTAGATATCAGCAGGTAGTATTAATATGGCAAAGTATATTTAATCTGATGTAAAAATTTGAGATACATGAAAGTTGACAGCCTGTTGGTGATACATGCAAAGTTTCCAAGTTCTATAGTTTTTTGGGTGTTTTTTTCTGGCAAAAAAATTGATTATAAGGTTACACAGCTAAATATTTAGTCAAAATGAAACAAATGTCTACATCCTCGCTTTTCAGTGAATCAGGTTCTCTCTTCACCCAGACTTTGCCAGGGCTTTTAAGGAGGTTACTTGTCTTGGAAAAGTTCCTGAAAAATGGAATTTTGGAATCCGTGCATAGGAGTATCACATCACACGCGTGGTGCAAAGCCGCCGTGTGGAGCGCTGACCTGAGGTGGTGCCGAGACGCAGAGGGACAGAAAGCGACCAAGAGCCAAGACTGTACGACATCCACAGAGTGAAGATCTGTCTGGAGTGGTGGGCGAGGTGCATGAGAGAAGTGGCCTCGTGAGCCCAGGAGGCGAAGCCCCGCCGCGGGCCCTCTCCTGCCTGTGGGCCCTGGGTTGCTGGCAGCGTGGCTCAGTCCGCGTCTGAAGCCTCGGAGCCTGGGAAGCTGAGGGGATGATTCCTGGCGGTCTGCTGCAGGCTCAGCCAGGGTGCAGGGAGGGGCAAGTCGCAGGCTGCAAAGGCTGGGGAGCCGCGAGTTCCCACATCGAGGGCAGAGGGGTCCCACTTCCAGGAGAGAGAGAGTGCAGCTGGCTCTGCTTGTATGTTCTGTCCAGGCCCCCCGTTGATGGGCAGTCGCCTGCCCACGTTGAGGAAGGGTCCTCCTGCACAGGCCACTGATCAGCGTGGCACCGGCTCTCCAGGCACGCCTAGACTCAACCATTGCAAGCTCACCCTTGTCAGCCTGGCACCCGTACACGTCTCTCTGAGCCAGACGTAGTCCTGCCTGACGGGATGCAGCTCTGTCCCATGTGCACCCAGAAATGCAGTCTCTCCCCCAGAGTGGGGCGATGGTGTCTCTCCTGGTGGTCGCCGCTAAAATGCTGTGCTGTGACGTGAACACAAAGAGGTGGCCCATGCTGCGGCTCACTAGGCTAATCCTCCGCCTGCGGTGCCGGCACCCCGGGTTCTAGTCCAGGTTGGGGTGTCGGATTCTGTCCCGGTTGCCCCTCTTCAAGGCCAGCTCTCTGCTGTGGCCAGGGAGTGCAGTTGAGGATGGCCCAAGTGCTTGGGCCCTGCACCCGCATGGGAGATCAGGAGAAGCACCTGGCTCCTGGCTTCAGATCAGCGCGGTGCGCAGGCCGCAGTGCGGTGGCTGCAGCGGCCATTGGAGGGTGAACCAACGGCAAAAGGAAGACCTTTCTCTCTGTCTCTCTCTCACTGTCCACTCTGCCTGTCAAAACACACACACACAAAGAGGAACAGAGAGATACCTGCTTAATGTAGGTATGTATACACAGGAGTGCCTTCCTCACACAGTGGAGAGTGCATGGTGAAGGGCAGTTCTTTCTGGTCCCAGCTGAGTGGCGGCAGATCTGCCTTCCGCCCGGTTTCCTTTGCCATCAGCCAGTGAGCACCTTAGCCACTCGCAGGTTTTCACCTGGCACGGTGACCCAAGCTTTTCTTTGAAAAGCAAAGCATCTGCTGGTTCACTTCCCAAGTGGCCTCAGCGGCCAGGGTTGGGCCAGCCCCAGGCCAGGAGCCAGGAACTCCGAGGCCGTCTCCCACACAGGTAGCAGGGACCTCACCCCCCGGGCCGTCACCTGCTGCCTTCCCAGGTGCATTGGCAGGGAGGTGGGCTTGAACGGGCACTGCTGTAGGAGACGCCGCATCCTGAGTGGCAGCTCGCCCCGCTGCTCTGCAGTCCTGGCCTGACTCAGAGCTGCCTGAGGGGTCTGGGCGTTGCCGCCTGGCTTGGCTTGGCTTGCTAGTTTCCCGTGACAGGGCACTGTGGCGTGAAGAGAGGCCCTCAGGAATCTGTTCCAGGCACACGTCCCTGGCTGCACTGTGGAGCAGCCCAGTGTCTCCCTGGCAGTCTGGTGGCAGTCTGGTCGAATGGTTCAGCGCAGTGCGGGTGTGTCCTGGTGGGAACACTCCTTCCCCTCTAACAGGCCTCTAGGCCAGCAGAGCGGGAAGCTGTGGGGCGGGAAGCAAACATTGGCCAGTGGTCACCAGGGTAAACGGGAAGGGGAGTCTCCCTTCCCCAGGGGCACCTCCTGTGCCTGTCTGCCCCGACTCCCAGCGCCACGGGGCCTGCTGGGTCACGTGGCCCCGCAGCACACAGCCTGCACACAGCCTGGGCCTGCCGCAGAGCCTGCTGATCCGGGCTCAGCTCACTCGGTAGGTGGGCCGGCGCGCCCACCCAGCCTGCAGGTGACTTGGCTTTCATGGAGAAGGGACTGGGTCAGAAGTGCAAGTTAGCAACAGAGGAGAAAGTCCCCTCGCAGGAAGATGAGTCTGTAGCGAAAACAGCGTATCAGGGGCTGGCGCTGGGGCGCAGCGGGTTAACGCCCTGTCCTGAAGCGCCAGCATCCCGTATGGGCGCCGGTTCGAGAGCCGGCTGCTCCTCTTCTGTTCCAGCTCTCTGCTGTGGCCTGAGACAGCAGTGGAAGATGCCCAAGTCCTTGGGCCCCTGCACCCACGTGGGAGACCTGGAAGAAGCTCCTGGCTTTGGCTGTTGAAACCAGTTGGGGAGTAAACCATCAGATGGAAGACCTCTCTCTCTCTCTGCCTCTCCTTCTCTCTCTGTGTAACTCTGACTTTAAAATAAATAAATAAATCTTGGGGAAAAAAAAAAAGGAAACAGCATATCAGATGTTGAACAGTGACTGAAAAAGCTAGAAGTATTGGGATTCTAAGGCAGAAGAAATCTGTATAAGTCTCCAGGCAGACAACGATGACCTGTCTTGTCCATTAGCTATGCCTGCCCACTACACTGAAGCATGGAGGGTTTAGAATGGCCTCTGTGTGTTGGTTGGATGAATGCTACTGCTGGTCAGGCCGTGCACAGCTGGCCGTGACTCATGCTTCAGTGTCCGTGCGGCTGAGTGGGCCTGGCTGCTCTACGATGGCCGTGCAGGGCAGTGGGGCCATCGTCCAGGTGTCACCGTTGTTCCTAGCAGGTGACCTGCCCGGCATTAATCATGGTGATTGCAGAGGAACAGGGAACAGAAACAGGCGACTGCTTTTTCAAGCCTCTGCATCAAGTTTGCCCTGGTCCAGTGGCCATGGCGAGCCACATGGCTATGTCCAGAGGCATTGTGGGTGTGAGGGCCTTGATACATGGGGGCTGTTACTGCAGTCAATCTGCCAGTTTGCTCGCGGAATACAGTCACCCCCGCCACTCCCACGTGCACAATACGCTCGCTCCAGACCTGGGCTAGCTGGTGTCGTGCGGCCGTGAAGCCAGATTTGAAGTCCAGTGCCATCTCACTTAGATGAGGCCCAGATGTGGCTTCTCTTGATACAGAAACCTGCAAACTAAAGGGACAAGCTGTGCTCTCCATACCTACTAAGCACTGGTGAGATGGTGAGGTGGGGACAGACAGGGCGCTGGAGTAGTCCGTTTCCTGTGACTAACGAGATACTTGAGGTAGGTGACTTAGAGACAGGAGTTCTGTTCTCACGCCTCTAGAGGCTGAAAGTCCAAACAGGGTGGAGCTGACTCAACTGATACACTGGGTAGAACAGAGAGCGGCAACTGTGGAAAAGTAATTAAAATACAAGAGGAGAAGGAAAATGCCTCGGTCGCTTTCTGATGCTGCAGCAGAAACCCACAGCCTGGGGAGTTTTATAAAGAAATGCATTCCTCACAGGTGCGTAGCAGAGAAACCCAAGATCAAGGCACGGTCTGGCCAGAGCCTTGCTGCTCGGAACACGGGGGGACATGGGGACACTGAGCAGGTGTGCGAGCCGGGCTCTCTGCTCCTCCTCTTAGCTACTAAGATGGAGCCGGTGAGCTGTCGCGGTGGTGTAGTGGGTAAAGTCGCCGCCTGCGATGACAGCATCCCACATGGGTACCGGTTCGAGGCTAGGCTACTCGTATTTCCTGTCTAGCTCCATACTAATGGCCTTAGGAAAGCAGTAGAACATGGCCCAAGGGCCTGGACCCCTCCCTGCCACTCATGTGGGAGTCCTGGATGAAGCTCCTGGCTCCTGGCTTTGGCCTGGCCCAACCCTGGCTATTGTGGCCATCTAGGGAGTGAAAATCTCTGATTTTAAATAAATAAAATAATTAAAAATGAAGAAGATCACTAACACCATCCTAGGGCTCCTCCCTCATGCTTTTATCCAAGTCACCCCCCCCTAAAGGCCCCCTCTAAAATCCATTGTGCTAATCGGGTTAATTTCCAACACCCGAGCTTTGGGGGGACATACTCAAACCACAGCAGAAGGCTGCGTGGAATTCCTGGGGCCTTGGCTCTGTCTCTGGTGTTAAGGTTTATTTCCGGGGCCGGCGCCATGGCTCACTTGGTTAATCCACCTGCGGCGCTGGCATCCCATATGGGCCCCAGTTTTTGTCCCGGTTACTCCTCTTCCAGTTCAGCTCTCTGCTGTGGCCCGGGAGTGCAGTGGAGGATGGCCCAAGTGCTTGGGGCCTGCAGCCGCATGGGAAACCAGGAGGAAGTACCTGACTCCTGGCTTCGGATCGGCGCAGCGCTGGCTGTAGCAGCCATTTGGGGAGTGAACCAACAGAAGGAAGACCTTTCTCTCTGTCTCTCTCTCTCTCTGTGTATAACTCTACCTGTCAAATTAAAAAAAAAAAAGGTTTTTTTTTCCTCTGGGTGTGGGGAGAGCATCTTTCACACAGGAGTTTTTGCTCCTGCCTTTAGGAAAGAAAATGGAGAGTGGGTGGGTGGAGGAGAGGTCAGCGATTCTCTC